AAGAGATTTGAGAATATAGGGCCAATTTTAGGCAAAAAAATATTTATAAATTGTGTGTGTTTTACTACAAAAACATACCAGAAAACACGTACGCTCGTATGATAATATTTCTTTTATAATTTTTTTAATTTGATTTGCCTATAATCTAAATTGATACAAATGGTGAAAGCTGAAAGGATGTAGAAGATTACAATACCCAATATTAAGAAAACTATAAACTCAACCACAAAGGAAAATAACCTATTTCGAAAATAGACAAAGCACATAAATATTTTTTAGAAAAAATAAAGATTGAGTAGTGATTCATTAAGAGAGAAAGATAATGTGCTGACCACATGTGTGTTACTAAATTACCAATAATGAAAAGCAATACTAATATCAGCACCAATACCAAAATCAAAGAATGACAAGAGACTCAACTAAAACAAAATTTTTTTAACCAAATTTTTATTTTCTTTCTAATTATTTTCTCTTAAGTTTAGCTATCTTTTCTAACTATTTTCTACGGTCAAATACAACAAAAATTTGATGTAAAAAAATTCTTATAAAAATAAATTGTATAATCAATTCAAAAAAAAAAAAGAAACATTTGTATGAATGTAAGTATACAGTACATTCACAAATTTTTTTGTGTCATTTATGAAAAATATATAACATAAAAACTATATGTGTATGGTTTATAGCATTGAAAGAGAGTGCATGATTACACAATACTACTAATCCAAAGGAGACAGAAAACTCAACCATATAGGAAAATTTATATATCAAGTATTCTATCTTCCATAATTTTTTTTTTTTAGGGATTTAAACAATTTCCTTCCTAGTCATATTAGATCTCATAGTATTTAGCTAACAAAATAAAAAGCAAAAAAAAAGTCTATATTTGAAAGACTTCGCTCCAGAATATAATAATTGTTGTTCTTTATCCAACTAAATTTAAATGGTTTAAAAATTAAAAGTTCAAAAGTCAAACGCTCAAAATGGTTATCAATTATTTCTAACTGATAATAAGCTCAAGTTGTTTACTGATAAGATGGGATAAAAGTTAAATAAGCATTATTTTCGAAACAAATAAAATTAACCCAACCACACACTATGTAAATTAAATTTACGACCTTAGAACAATAAATCTTCCACAGTTATTTACTATTAAGCAACAACAAAAAAATTTGACGGTTGAGACACTTAATATTCTAGATATATATATAACCATAAATATATCTTATTTATACACTAATGCAAAACAGAGTATTAACTGAAAACAGAGCTTTACATAAAGAGATAAAACACTTGAAATCAGAGGAGCACATAAATAGATGTAATTGAAACTTAGTTCTATGTAGTTATACAGTATTGCCGTAGATCTATCTTATTTATATACTAATGCATCTCACATATATCAGATGCTAAAAATTTTCATCTGTTAATTGTTATTGTTAAACAAAATTATCAATCATATAATTGTGGTTGTCCAATTTGCTTTTAATTATGAGACTTTTGGTTCATGAAACTTGCAATCAAACATAAATTGAATTTTGTCCGCTTTTTTGCCTAGTGCAATTTGTCTGACAATTAATTGACTTAAGAAATTCTGTTAGTAATAATTATAATTTTTCTCGGAAATTCCAGTGCTTGAGATTCGGTACTATTGTATTTGCAATTTGAAATTGTAATCTGAATATTATAATAATATTTGGGACTCATTTTATTATTATCCCCACATTTGATCTGGAACTAGAAATATAAAGTTAACTAAACTAACCACTACTGCTTAGTATGCGTGTGATAGTCGCTACTTACAAATAACAAAATGAAATATATATATATATATATAAAGTTAACTAAACTAAAGTTAACTAAACTATATGGGTGTTGTTGGCATCAATCCCGATTGTTTCCAACATTACTATTAGTATATAAAGCAAGAAAACTATAAATGTGTATAAACGTCTCTACAAAATTGCATCCTTACTAAAACAGGGTTCCAAAAATTACAATATGTAGTCATGTAGAAGGAGAACCTTCGATGATACAAAATTATAAATGATTAAGATTTTAAGAGATACAATCATACAACACGTAAATGTAAATCGAACCTTTTAGATAATAATAAAAAGGTCCGAAATCTTCAGTAAACTATGAATAGAAACGGGTGCCCACAAAAATATTGACCCGATCAATACAAAACACAGTCCACATAGCTAGACCTTTAGTTTTCGAAGACAGAAAAAGAGCTTCGAACCTCAACAAGAAAATTCTTAGAGGTTGATCCACACTTAGAAACCGAACTAGAGGAAGAAGAACAAGCATGATGATGCGATGATGTCATCTTACTAGACATCATCATCATCCCACTACCACCGAAACAATCTTCTTTATTCTCCTCTTCTTTGATTGTGTCAAGCTTTTGTTTAGCTGCTCTGTGCCTCCTCATCACCGTCACGAATTGAGGCGGAGCAACCTCTGATACAAACCTAGCTAGACGCGAAGTAGCCATTGTTGGATTAACAAGAATAGTACGTGAAGAAACAAAAGGAATGATTGGTTTGATTATGGAATTGCTTGTGAGATGAAACTCATATATATATAATGTAGATGATTTTGTGTAATTAGTAATTACCCACGTCGAAGGGCATTTGTTTTTGACGTTTTGTACCGTCAATAGCTTTTGCTATTAAATGCATGGACGCGTGTATTGAACGTCTTAATTTGTTTCGTCGCGAACACCTTTTTATTACTTTTCAAAATTTTGAAAATATTTAATTAATGACTTTAAATATTAAAAGCCTCTGGATTTCTATAATCTTCTTTAACCAAACGTCCATACGGATAAAAAAAATTAGCTGTTATTAAAGTGCTTCTTCACGATTTACACTCAACACAAAACGATAGCAAGTTAAAAAAAAAAATTACTAGAAAATTTTGTTTTAGAAAAAAAACAATTACTAGAAAGAGATTAAAATGCTTATTTTTGCCAACTTTTGAAAAATAATAGGGATAGTGAAATTCAGAAGAAAGATGTTGACAAAATAAATAAAGAGATAATGTGCACGTGTCAAATTTACTGTGGAAGGTCTCATCTCTATCTTTGTCGGAATCGATGACTGACAAAATATAGCTTTTTCCGGTCTGAAACTTGTGGTAAACAATAACCGGTCGTACCAACGTGTCAGTCAGCAAAATCTGGACGTCTTTTATATGTCCTTGTTATAATAGATTTTCTTTAATATCATTAAGATTTTTTCGTCTAAAGTGGCCGTGTGGCTCTAGGAAATCTGAGAAAACAATTTCTTTTCCTTCCCAACAAGGCAACAACTTGATGTATTTATGTTATAATTTTAGTTCTTAACCATATATTCATAATTACCTATAACTACATAAATTTCTTAATAGAGAACCACATTTTTTGAAACAACCAATCAATATGTTAAAATATAGGAATTCATTCATTGTTAGACACATTACCTAAATAAGACAACAAAAGAGGGGGAAACAATAAAGAATAATAAATATTATATTGAAAGATATAATTTCAATTAGTTTCTAAGTATTACATCATAGTTGATTCGCCATAATTTAAAAAAAATCACAATTACTTGGACTTACCTATTCTCTTTATTAGTTGACTTCTAGATAGACAATTCATACCTTTATTAATAACAACTCCATTTGTTTTATAAAGAGTGTGGATTTAAGGTTTTATTTTTGTTTTACAAAAAATATTGTGTTATGTTTTTATAGCAGAATTTTGAAAAATCAAATTTCAACCCTATTACTTTAGTGTAATAATCAGATTAAAAATTGATACAATGTATTAAAAATAGATAAAGTAGAACTTTGATAGTTTTCTTTATAAACGGCTGAAACTCTAAATTGATATTATTTTTAAAATAGAGAGAGTAATATATAATTATGGCAATAATGTCATATATTAACTTTTTTTTCGAACTATGGTCATCATTATAACTAATCATACAAACTATTTGGTTTGCCTAGGATAATATAAATCCAATCTCAGCAAACTCATTAAAAATAATAATAATAACAATACTTTAACCAAAATAAAATTAATGAATCTTATATGTATTTGGTAAAGAGGCCGGTCTTTTATAATCTTAAGAGTATCCAAATTTTCTAAAAATTATCAAGTGGTATGCGTGAGTTTAACTTATGTTGTATGGAGATTACATACATTACAAGAAAACATGCAAAAAACTTACGGAAAATATCCTTAAAAATTGTAGAAAACAGTCATTTCTTACTAAATTCATACGAATTTTTTTTATAGGAAATCGGTCGTCGGAAATCGTTAAAGGTAAAAAAATGATAGAAAATTTTCTACGAAAATGTTGATAGGAAAATATTCTACGATTTCCGGCTATCAGAATCGAACCGATGACCATCGCATTTCAAATGCGATGCTCTAACCTTTGAGCTAAGCGGGCTCAAATAAAATAGCGCATACATAGAAATTCACTAAACTACTAGATTTTTCTCTCGATTTGTATTCTTTCCAATTTTCTACGAAATATTAACTACCTATTTCCTACGAATTTCCTACTACTATTTTCTACCAATTTTTTTACCAATTTCCTATCCATAAAAGAAAATTAATTTTATAAAATCAAAATAAAATTAATATTGGAAATTTAATTTAAATTAATACATAATTATAAAGTTGATTAATAAAATATATATAAAACAAAATAAATTCATTAATTACTATAAGTTTATAACTTAATTAAGTAATTATTAATCAGAAAGAAAGAGAAGCTGAAAACTCTCATTTATAGTGCAGCTTCTTCAACTAAATTACGTTAGATTGTCGATGTGAGACACAAACCAAAAGACATATTTTCCTACGGAATTCCTACAATTTTTCTACAAACAATATTTCGTAGGAAATCCGTAAAAAATTTTAATTTTGTTCTATTTATAGTGAAACTTTTTCATCTAAATTATATTAGTTTTTCGATGTGGGACAAACCAGAAGACATATTTTCTACAGAATTTCTACGATTTTGGAACAAATAGTATTTCGTAAAAAATCTGTAGGACAACAAACAATATTTCGTATGAAATTTCCACCAGCGTAACAGTCAATTGGGTCATACCACTTTTCTACCAAATTTTGACCGTATTTTCTACGAATATAAATTTGGTAGGTTATTGGTTGGATATATCCTACCATTTTTTTATATTTTCTTTTCGTAGAAATTTTTTTACCTTTTTTCTACTATTTTTATTTTTTCGTCATAATTGCATATAAAATTGGTTAAAAATATTCTTACGAAATTTTTTGTAGTAATTTTTATAGGAATATGGCATGTTTTCTTATAGTGATATGGTTTTGTTAGTGTTAACAATTAAAAAAAAAAACAAAGAGAGAGAGAGAGATTTACATGCATGTGGATGTCATTTTTTTTTACACTCTAGACGTTGCATGTTAGCTAAAGAATCTAAAGTTTTAGTTCACGATTTGGCTCAACATCCCATTTACAAGTTCTACAAGTAGAAAAAAATGCGTTGTCACATGGTCAAGCCTCAAGAGGCAGATTGCAAAATAACGAACTGGTCTCGACTCTCGACTAGATAATTATATTATATTAAAAACAAATTAGACAAGCATCTTAGATTCTTATGGTTGAATCGTTTGGGAAACAAAGATGCAAACTTTCATAACTAAGAAAAAAAACAAAATAAAACATCAAAGTAAATAAAGAAAAAAAAACATAAAACAAAAACTGAAACATTATTAGCTTAATGAAAAAGAGAAAACGGGTAAAACGGTTAAGATTCAAGGACCATGCTTCTTCATTTGATAGGAGGATGACTCAAACACAGACGTGTTTCTGATTCTGTTCACGTGATCAGTGCTTGAAGATCCTCTGCTTCCAATATTGATGGCATTATGATTCATGTTCATAATGTTGTTGAAGCTCGGGTTCCACTTGTTTGGATCCTCTTGATTTATGCGGTAACTGTTATGATCAGAGCTCACAGCAAAAGATCCATCAAATGATTGATTTATCAAGGGATTGCCAACGAAATCACTGGATCCACCATCATAATAGTCTTGTCGGAACGATACATCAGAGAAATCAAAGGCCTCCATTGGTGGGAAACTTTGAATTGGAGGCACATTAGTTACCATATCACCATGAATCTCAGGCAAAGAACCAAAATGGTTCTCAACAACAACAGAAGAAGAAGAACCAAAAGATCCAACAAACTCCTTGGTTTTTTGAGCAAAAGATCCAACAAACTCGTTGGTTTCTTGAGTATGTAACAGAGGTTGGTGATGATTAGCTTGTTGGATCTCCACGGAAACCACCTGAGAAACAGAGGGTTGATCCATCTTTGGACGCTTGGATTTACGGCAACTTCCACCAATTGGTATGTTCCTTAAAGCCCCACCATGAGTCCAATATCTACGACAGTTCTTGCAGAAATAGCGCGGTTGAGAAACACTATAGTTGTTGTAGTAACAGAACTTGGTGTTGTCTGAGTTACACCTTGGACACACTCGCGGAGGTGGAGGTTTCTCTTCATTCACTTGATTATCTTCTTTCACAAAAACATTTGAGAAATCCATTTCTCTTAAGATCTACTTGGTTTTCTTGTTGTTTTTTTTTGTTGTTGTTGTTGTTATGATCTTTAGTGTTGTGGGGTGGGATGACTTCTTATATAGGTTACTGGGGCGTGGAAATTGTAGAAGAGATACGTTTCGGGTTTTAGAGGAGTGAGATTATGAGAACAACGTGTCAAAGATTGTGTATTAATAAATTTTGAAGATCTATCTGCACACCATAAACTTAAGCTAAGCTTAGTCAAAAAGCAATACTCTCTTACTCTTAACTCTTGTCTGTATATCCATAAATAGAGAATCAAGAAGATTTGGTTAAACTAGTTAGTCAACATAAAAAATCTAGATACATTAAGATAATAATGACAATTTAAGTCAAAACAAACATAAATTATGTGTTTTACTATGAAAGAGAGTAGCAGAAAACACGTGCGCATAATATATTATTTTTAGAGAAATTTTAAATGATTTGTCTATAATCTAAATTGATACAGCTGATGTGAGAATTGAAAAGATTTAATAGATAATAATATCCATTTTCAATAAAATTAAAAACCCAACACAATAGGAAATTTTTTTATATAAAAAAACTATTTTTCGAAATAGACAAAACTCATAAATATTTGTTAGAAAAATTATAGATTGCATAGTGATTTATTAAGAGGGAAAGATATTGTGTGTGAACATGTGTGTTATTAAGAGTTAAGAGTTGTCATATACAGACAAGAGGTAAAAGTAAGAGAGTCTTGGTTTTTGCCTAAGCTTAGCCTATGTTTTATGGTAGCTAATGGTGAATCAAGAAGATATGGTTAAATGATTAGTCAGATTAACATAAACAAAATTTAGAGAAATTGAGGCAAGATAAATGCTAATCTAAGGCACAATAAACATCATAAGTTGTATGTGTTTTTACTATGAAAAAAGAGAGCATCATAAAACACATGCGTAAGATATTTTTTTGGGAAAATTCCATATTAAATCCTCAAGTTAATTTTGATAAGCTTTTTAAATCCTCAAGTTTTTGTGTGCCCAGTAAAAACCCTTAAGTTATTTAGTTGCCTATTTTAAATACTCAAATGTTTACCGCCTGATTATTTTAAAATGACTCGTTAACAGAGGTTAACGACACTAACAATACTGTTAAGTTTTTCGTTTAGTCAGTTAACTCTATCTAATCATGGTTAAGTCGAGGAGTTTAGAGCCGTTTTAAAAAGGAGAATTCCCAAATGCTCGAACCCTAATTCCCTTTTTTAAAATCTCTCTCAATCGTTCTCTCTCAAATAAGAAAGACATGTCGAATCAGAGTCAAAGCTCCGGAACAGAATCAAACGCTTCACATGGTGGAGGATTCAAGGGTTATGTGAAGTGTCACTGTGGGAAGGTGTCTGTGGTGAGAAAGGCTTGGACGGATGATAATCCGGGGAGAAGATTCTATGGATGTGGAGCTGCAAATTGGAAGTCTTGCAACTTCTTCAGATGGTTCGATGCTGAAAAGCCTCAAGGGTGGCAGAAAAACGCTTTGTTGGAAGCTCGCGATTTGATTCGGGAGCAAGGAGACGAGTTGAAAAAGCTGCGAGCAATCGTCGGAGAAGAAGGTAAGGAAATGGCTTATGTTGGAGAGAAAAGCGAGACAAGCACCCAGAATACAGACATGTTGCTGCAATTGACTACTGAGAACAATAAACTGAAGGAAAAACTTGCTTCAAGCCTTGAGAAAGAGAAGCTATGTCGACAATTTGTGGTCATTTCGTGGGTAAGATTTGTGTGTGTTACTGCGGTAATTGTCAGTTTAGGGAAGTGAGATGTAATGGTTTGAAGAATGGGGTTTGAAGATTGGGGTTTAGGAAGTGAGATGTTGGGATTTCGGTTTGTAATGCTTGTGACATTTTGCTACTTTGGTAATGCTTGTAATGATCTATTTGGATTTGGTTTCTAATGTTTTGCTATGATCTTGTGTTATTCTCATTTTCTCACATCAAAACATGTAAACAAAGTACCAAATATGAGTAGAAACATAATGGAATCAGTTTACAAAATAAGATGAGAGTTTACACACCAAAGCAACGAAATGACTAGAGTTTGACACCAAAGCAAACAACTGAACAGAGTTTAGACACAGACACCATAGACAACAAAGCAAACAGCAAAAGCAGATAATCAAGAGGTGACCAAATCAGTAGAAGCCATCTACTCCCGTGAGTTTTGTCTGCGTGAAGAGCTTTCAGGAACCTCTCTTGAACTTTGACCAAAGCACTCAAAGACTCGATTGGTATATAGGCACATGTAGACTCCATGACCTTCCTACGTGCTGTTCCTCTTCTTGGAGGACGACCACGACGTCGTCCAGTACCAGCAGGTGCAGTATTAGAAGACGATGCCGCAGTGGATGGTTGAGGTACAGTAGCTGGAGCCACGGTAGACGCCTGTGATTGCGACTGAGACTGAGGTTGTGATTGAGGCTCTGATTGAGGCTGCGATTGAGTAGTGTTGCGCTTCTTTTTAGGCCGTGGATTAGCTTCAACATCCTGTGATCCCACAACATCAGAAATACCAACTAGCATTACTCAAGTAGTTCAGATGAACAAATAAAAGTTAGAGAGAAAGAGGCTCTTACAACAGGATTTTTACGAGGTCTTCCACGTTTGCGAGGTGGACCTTGGACCACAAAAGCAGGATTCTTGCAACCTTGTTTGTTATGTCCTGTCTGCTTGCAATTTCCACATGTCATTGTTCTGCCATGTTTGGTAACTCGTTTAGGCTTAGAAGGAGACTCATGCGCAGCCTTGATCCTCTTTTTCTTGGGTCTCCCTGGCATCTTTCTGAATCCTGGAACCCCAATTGGCTCTTTATTAGTCTTCTCCCAATATATCTCCCCATTAACTGGCTTGATGTTGTCTCGGTATGTTTCTATCCAGGTTTCAGTTCTATAGCAGATATCGACATGGCTGAAACAAAAGGTTTGGACACATTAAAACCTGGTCGCTACATTAAAAACATATACTTCAAAAAAGAAATAACTTACTTCTCTGGTTGTTGATGATTCTCGTTGATCACCCGAATGGCATGTGAACAAGGAATACCGGTCAGGTCCCAGTCTCTACAAACACAATGACGCAGGCGAAGGGATACCTCGTAGCTGCATCCGTAGAGTAAAACCTCAAACAAATTGTCTGAGCTTGTAAGCACAGAACAGTCCTTGCTCTCCTCTCGATTTTCTTCTAAAATGTCCCCGACCTTGTTTGGGAAAGGCATTATACACGCCTTAGCTCTCTTCAGTCTGCGTACTATACGTGTCATCGCCTGCCTCCTAATTGCCTCTAACATGTTTATCAAGGGCAGTTCTCTAGCTCCTTTAATCGTCCTGTTAAAGCTTTCTGACAAACTGTTGCATACATTAGCAGACTTAGCATTTCCAGTGAAGAAAGCAAGGCACCACGTCTTGGGCTCCACAGCTAACAACGCATCGTGTGCCTCTGCATCGAATGCTCTGAGCTCATCCATATGTAGCTGGTACTCTCCCACAGATTTGCTATACGCCACATTCCAGAAAAATGGATTGTAATCAACATCGCCATACTTCTTTTTCCAGTTCCCGTAGACATGCTTTGCACAATTCCTATGCTCTGCATTAGGAAGAACAGTAGCAAGAGCTACTTTTAAACCCTGCATATGATGTAAACATGTTTAGTATTAGAAAAAAAAATAATGTAAGCAGCTAAGATAGTCATCAGCATTGAAGAACAATACCTTTTGCCTGTCAGATATGAATGTAACTCCATCTCCTACACCCAAATCTAAATTGGCCTTCAACTTATTGATGAACCATTCCCAGGAATCCTTGTTCTCCCCTCTTACCACTGCCCAAGCTATAGGATATATCCTATTTTCTGCATCCCTACCAACGACAGCTAGTATCTCTCCCTTCAACTCCCACTTTAAGAAAGCACCATCAAGCCCTATTAAAGGTCTGCAATATTTCTTCCAACTTCTCCTTAGTGGTTCGAAACAGACATAGAAGCTCTCGAACACCTGTTTTCCATCTTTGGGAACGGTTACAATCTCGGTCGTAACTCCCTCATTAGACCTGATCAACTCAGCTTCATAGTCCCACAATTTAGCAAACTGTTCTTTCTGAGTCTCCAAAACCATATCCAATGCAATTCTCCTGGCTTTTCGGCACTTGAAGATTGAAACCGAGATCTTGTACCTGTGCATTAACTCGTCCTTAATTTCAGAGCTCCTTATGTCTGGTCGGCGCCTTGCTTCCTCTTTGAAAAGCCTTGCAATTGTACCTTGCTTCAGCATCCTAGCTCTTCCCATAGGCAAATGACAGTGTTTGTCTTCATACACTTTAACCATCCACTTCCGTATTGGCTTCTCCACCGAACAGTAGATCCTCCATTTGCATTTCTTATATGTGCAAATGGCTGCATACCTTTGCACATTCCACTTACTCAACTTCACATCATACTGAGTTTTCAATACATACCTCAAAAGTTGATCCTTGAACTCCTCTCCGCTGTTAAAAGTTTGCATTAACCATAAGTATGGAGGCTTATCATAATCAGCCTTGCTCTTCCCTTTAAACTTCCTTCCATGGTCATCTTTCTTATTCCAATTATGCCATTCTTCATCAGTGTCTTCCGGCGAATCTGGGTATTCACCATCTTTCCTTGGTCTCTCACCTTCAACGTCACTATCCACACCCTCATCATCTGCAGGATGCTGAGTAATCTTACCACGAAATACATGAGGCGGCTCTTGTTCGATTAACGCTAACATGTTATCAAACCGTGGGTCATCATCTCCTTCACCTAATATCTGATTCTCATCCTCCGATGGCACTCCACCCTCTTCTTCTCTATTAACCACTAAAGCACCTTCTTCGTGTCTTTCTTCTTCCTCAACATCAGTATCCTCCCTTTCTTCTCCTCTATCCTCCTCGTCACTCTCTTCTTCTCTAGCCTCGTCATCACTACTGTTTTCATCATCACCATTCTCACCATCATCCTCTTCCTCTCTACTTTCAACAACTCTGTTTTCATCATCACCATTCTCACCTAAATCCTCTTCCTCTCTACTTTGAACACCTACGGATGGTTGACTTTCACTATGCTCAATGTATATGTGAACCTCTCTACAATCCTTTGCTTCTAACGCCATCTTCATCAGCTCACGATCCTTATCCTCAAATACAGACCTAACCTTCGACATATCCTCTGTAGGGAGTCTATACCACAATCTTACCACATCACTCGCAACTTCCCGATTTTTTCTAAAATCTTCGAAAATTGAAAAGGTGAGTAAATCGGGGTCTACCACCATATCAGGAGCCGTCGTTCCTCCTTTATAGCACCACTTGTTGCGCACCTTCGACATTGAACCTCCGTAGTGAATGTGGAGCTTTAGATCTTCATCTCCGCCGCACAAACACAAACATGCTTCGATATTAGCAATACTCATCAAATACACACACAAAATTGAAGTTGTGACTCGATTTAGGGTTTAGATGTACCTCATCTTTCTTCTTTTGCCTTCAATTCGATCTCAATAACGCGATTTTCAGTTCATTTGGGCAATCAAAATTTTAGGATTTCTACCCAGATTTGGGATTTTTTTATTTTCTCGGAGTTTTGATCGGGTTTATTATGGTTTCCCATACGGGTATGGATACGGGTCGGGATCCGAGTTTGGATAGTCCAATTAATGCTAAACCACTATGGTTACTGTAGTTAGTCCGTTAACGGGACAAGAACGGTGTTTGAATTTCCGTTTGCAGTCGTTTCCTATACGGTGTAAAAGAAGTATACGGTAAACATTTGAGTATTTAAAATAGGCAACAAAATAACTTAAGGTTTTTTACTGGGCACACAAAAACTTGAGAATTTAAAAAGCTTATCAAAATTAACTTAAGGATTTAATATGGAATTTTCCCTATTTTTTTTTGTGTAAAAATTTGTTGTGAGACTTCTCTATAGTTTAAATTGAAATGGTGTAGTAGATACCAATACCGATCTCAAAAGGTTTTATATGGACAAGAAACTATACAAATAAATTACAGAGTTTTGAGTTTTGTTCATATACAAGAGAAAATAACTACAATACCCATAAACATTTTAAAGGATTGGCGCCACAATATAACGGTTATTTATGTTTTTATCATATATTAAATAAAAAGATAGTTTACAGATGAAGAGCTCAATAGTGAAAAATTTATAAACGGTCAAAAACCATTTTTCACCGAACCATGCAACGCTTAATTAATTTTATAGCCTTACAACAGTAAATTTCAACGGTCTTCAGTAGAAATTGAGATCGATCGAAGAAATTAATACCAGCTCACTATTTTAGACATAACATCATAACCATATATATTTACGTTATTTTACACTGAGGCGTCTCACATATTGAGATCATGCAAGTTTGAAAACAGAGATGAGAAGAGAAACAGAGCAAATACCATAAAGCAAGAAACATTTGATAAAACATAGATATCTCTCTAACTCATTAGTCAAATGTTATGAAACACACAACGAACTGATGACGATTAGTTATTTATATTATAAGAAAAGACCAGACAAGCAACTTATGTCTGAATCTTTTGGAAAAGACAACAGAGCTGACAAAAAAAAAGAAAGACCCAACAGAAAACATAAACAAAAAAAAACTGAAACATTAACTTAAGAAAAATAAAACGGGTGATACGGTTATGATTCAAGGACCATTCTTCTCCAAAGAAGAGGACGACCTAAACACGCACTTTTTTATGACTTTGTTGTTGTTGTTCTTGTTCATGTGATCAATGCCTGATGATCCTCTGCTCTCATTAGTGCTGGTGTTATGATTCATGTTCAGAGTATTGTTGAAGCTCTGGTTCTGCTTGTTTTGATCCTCTTGATTCATGCGATAGCCACTGTAACTATCAACATGTCTACCAATTGGTTGGTTTATAAAAGAATTACCCAAATCATTGGACCCAACATCAAAATAATCTTGGTTAAACGATCCATCAGAGAAATCTAAACGATCCATTAATGGTCGAATAGTTCTAATTGGAAGCACCATATCACCATGAATTTCAGAAAAAGAACCAAAATGATTCCCAACAGCAACAACAGAAGAAGAGCCACCAAAAGATCCAACAAACTCATTGGTTTCTTGAACATGTAAAAAAGGTTGGTGATGATTAATTTGTTGGATCTCCACAGAAACCATCTGAGAAAGAGATGGTTGATCTATCTTTTGGCGCTTAGTTTTACGGCCACTTCCACCAATCGGTATGTTCCTTAAAGCCCCACCATGAGTCCAGTATCGGCGACAATTCTTACAAATGTAACGCGGTTGAGACAGGCTATAGTTGTTGTAGTAACAGAATTTAGTGTTATCTGAGTTACACCTTGGACACACTCGCGGTAGGGGCTTCTCTTCATTGACTTGATTGGCTCCTCTCACGAATACATTTGAGTTATCCATTTCTCTCAAGACCTATTTGGTTTTCTTCTTTCTTGTTGTTGTTATGATCTTTGGTGTTGAGGGTAATGTCTTCTTATATAGATTCTTGAGGCGTAAGAAGAGCTACATTTTGGTTTTATAAGAGTGAGATTATGAGCAGAACGTGTCAAAGATTGTGTATAAATGAAATCTGAAGATTTTTCTTCACACAATAAATCTTAGGCTAAGTGTAGTTAAAAATCAAGACGCCTTACTCTTATTCTTGTCGGTATATGAAAATTGGAGAATCAAGAAGATATATAAGATTAAATGAGTCAAGTCTTATAAACAGAAATAAAATCTAGGGACATTGAGAGTATAATGCCAATTTTAGGCAAAACAAACATATATTGTATACGTTTTAAGAGCAAGAGAGAACACGTGTATGCGTTAGATAGATTCTTTGTATTGAAAAATCTTTATGAGATTTGTCTATAGTCTAAATTAATACAAATGGCGATGATTGGAAAAAATGTAGTAGATTACAATACTCAATATCAAGAAAAAGAGAAACTCAATCACAATAAGAAGTGTGTTTATGTCAAATAACCTATTTTGAAATAGACAAGACATATAGATAACTTTTAGAAAGAAATAGAAATTGAATAATGATTTATTATGAGAGAAAGATAATGTATACAAATAGTGGGAAGCAATACCAATAGCAATAGCAAGAACACTAGAGACTCAACCAAAAAAAAAAATTGATTTTACCATATAACCAAAGTAATTGTGTAGTTTTCTTGGTTATACCATAGTAACTGTGTACTTTTCTATGATATACCATGGTTATACCAAATAACCATACTGGAAAGCGACAAAACATCTAAATAAAAATTTTACTGGAATTTATTTTTAATAAGAAAGAAAACAAGTGTATGTGTGTGAGTTGTATCACATATGAGAAATGTACAACAGAAAAACTATGTATAAGAATTATAGTGGTGAAGAAGTGCGTGAATAGTCAATGGTGAGAGTTGAAAAGTCTTAAGTAGCGAGTAATATTGAATACCAAGAAAGCAAGAGACTAATAAGAAAAAAGGTTTCTAGATTGAGTAATCTATTTTTTTAATACAAACTATTTAAACACTAAGATAAATTTAGTAGGAATTTAACGGTAAAGTTGTATCAAGTAATATATTAGTAAAACCACAAAATACCTCCATAATCCTTGTAGGGATTTCACAAATTTTCCTCAGTAGTCATGAAAGATCTAATAGTGTTGAAGTAGAAGGAAGAATGTTGATTGTGGTTTTCAACTATCTGGGGTCGGTTCGGTAATTCGAATTCGAAAGATTAAATTGATTATATTTTATTAAGTTCTTAATTACAGTTCGTTCATGTCCGTTCAATTTGGAGGTCTCTCGACGAATTCGATACAATATTCAGGTCTTCATTCTCCGGGTCCCCAAAAAGATCCTTTCTACAGTAACAATTCTACTATTTATAGTAACGAGAAGATGTTCTCCTCCAGACTCATTTCGGCTAAGACCATCGTAAATCGAGATTAATTGAACCGGTCTCGGTCTTTTAACCGGTCCGAACCGGAGAGCGTACCACCAACAAAGAACTGACTTAAAAAGTCTATAGGGGTTCGCGCCACAATATAACGGTTCTTCTTTATCAAATTAAATTAAGAGCTCAAAGGTAAAATGGTCAACAACCAATACTAACCGGTAACAAACATCATTTGTATGTAACCATAGCGTAAACAAATATTATCACCTCCGGAAAAAAAAAACAAATCGTTCAACGGTTGGTCGAAATTGAGATTGATAGAACACAGAAGGAATAGAAACTTAATATTCTACACATAAACCATAGGTTTATTTATTTATATACTAAAGCATGAGATGAGGTGTAGTTTAAAAAACAGAGAATAAACTGAAAACAGAGCAACACATAAACACCTGAAAACAAAGAAACACGTATAAAAGATGTATATCTTTTATCATTAGTTAAATGTTATGAAATCATCCTCCTTTTGGTCTTTCTCGGCTTTTTTCTCCGCCTTTTTCCTTAGATCTTCGACGCCTTTATCCATATCAGCCCTTGCCTCATCCGCATCATCGTCAGGTCCAACCACAGCTTCAGTCGCAGTCCGTGCGGCGTTTTTTGTATTCTCCCAAGCTCCTTTCACCGTCTCCTTTGTCTTCTCTCCAAGTTCCTCAGCCTTACCCTTCACGGTCTCCTTGAACCCTTCTGCTTTCTCCTTAGTATCTTCTCCATATTCTTTGACCTTCTCTTTCGCATCTCGAGCCTTGGCTTTTGCATTGTCCATTGTATCCTCAGCGTAATCCTTGGCTTTTTCTTTTGTATCTTCAGCTTTATCCGCTGCCTTATACGCCCCTTCGTTTACTTTGTCTTTAGTCCGTTGCGCGTAGTCTTTAGCCTTCTCCTTTGCATCAGAAGCTGTATCCTTAGCCTGCTCTTTGGTCTCGTAAGCTTTATCAGTAGCTTTGCTCGCTCCTTCGTTAGCTTTATCTTTAGCCGCTTGGGCATAGCTTTCTCCAGTATCCTCCTTCCATTTTTTTGGGCCGTATGAAAAATCTGCCCTTGAGTCTCGAGCATTCTCTACCGGATCTCTTCCCTGGGAAAAATAAAACGCACACACACACACACATAAATTTCAAATTCTACAAGGTGTAAATTCAAACTAGGGTTAATAACTTGTGCAACGCGTTAACCTAAGAACCACATACTCAAAGCTCTTATATCGGATCCAAGCCTAGTCTATACAAATATATGAGTGAAATACTAGCCACATACTGGATGTAAAAAAAAAGACATGTATACTCAAAAACTTATGGATATATACCATCATACCACAAATCCAAAACCTGCTCGCTAATGTTATTAGAGCTTCAAACATATTTGTATGTAATTTTCTCTCAACTTTTCTACAAAAAAAAGAAAAGAAATAATTTTTGTACGTACACGATATACACTTGGGGATTATACAAATGTTGGGTTATGCTCATGGAAAACTCAATTTTCAAGTATTTAGCAAAAAAAAAAAAAAAAATATATATATATATATATATATATATATATATATATACTTGAGGATTTAAAATAGGTTTTGAAATTATGTCAGGGATTGCACCTCTCGCACACCCTCAAAACAGGTCCTAGTTGAATCAAATCTCTTCACATGATCGATCTCGCATGCATAAGAATCTAAATATCTTTAAAATGTAAAAAAGATTAAGTTGTGCAAGTAACCTCGGAATGGCTAACGGAGGAGGCGAAGCAGACGCGAGAGACTTTCCTGGTCGAAGCGGCGAGAGTTGCCGGAGATCGTACCATAGGGAAAGCCTTTGAGAGGCTAAAGAGAGTGGCTCTGGTTAGTTGCATGGTTGCCATTTTCATCAAATCAAGAAACAAGAATTGTCTTCCCAATAATTTGTCTATTCGAGATTTGTTTGCTATGACGATTCAATCCGATCGAGATCCCTTTTCTTCTCTTTATTTGGCAATGGGTCCTTAGAGGTCGGTTCTCTAATACGTTACGTTGCAGCTTATGGATCCGACAGCAGAAGCTGGCCGCCCAAGAATGTGACACGTGTGGAAGTGATGACACGTGGTTTACATGTGAACCCTTTTGGCTTCTTTATGGCGAGTTCTAGTTTAATTAGATACGTACCGTTTTGGTAAATGCTATTAATCACCACTTACGAAAATACCAATTTTAGTTTACCGTTTTGATATAGTAAATAATTACAGACTTATCTATTCAGACTTATGTTTTTTTTTTTTATATGGTTCGATGATCTAACTAAGAATCAGTGATATTTCAAAGCGATATTCTTTCTTATATCATTTGTCCAAGAATAAAGTATTTCTTATTTGTTTGTCATATTTAATCATCACACACATTACAACTTGGTTAAATGAGGACAGATCATTTACCCAACGTGATGTTATGTGCCTTATGGCCCGTTGAGATCGACATCATTATAATTCGCCATATTTATCATTTAGCAATGGCAAACTGTACCAAAAAAAAAAAAAAAAAATTCAAATTTACGACGGCAATCCCTAAATCATGGTTTAGGTGACTTGTGCCACAAACGGGGCATTGGGATTTACCCACAAATAATTTTGTTACTCCATTATTACATTAAGTATGTTGATATGTTTTGGAATAGTATAAATTCAAACTAAAAAAAACATTTATTTCGATGAATTGCATTTCTTTTTTTTTGTCGTCAATCAGTATACGATTTACAGTATGTGTTTATTCACTAAAATGGCAAAAGGTTTTGCAGGTTTAATCATGATAAACAAATCCTGATTTGGATATTTTTTAATCTAAATTAATTTATTTCACTTCAATATTCTGTCATTCTGTTCCATCGACATCGTCCGTACTCCTTACACAAAAGCTAGGCAATCACAATCCAAAAACTCACCTCCCGTTTTTGAGTTTTTTTTTTCTAATCATTGTTCGTATATTAAAGGAACCACGTGAACTTGAAGGTGCAGGACTAGATGGAAGGAGACGATATGTCGATATCATAATAAGACACACATATCATGATACACACGTGCCAGTATCATAAGTTAGTCAAAAACTTAAAATCTAACTAAAGCATACCAATCTCCACGTGAAACACATTTTTTGACTTGTTTATTAGATATCAAATGTTAAATAGAACAAACAATGATTATTGATATAGTAGGAGTATATTAAGACTTACAACGTATTTACGTGCAGTAGGTCTGTAAGAGAAACAATCAAGAATGTACAGTGTCATTTTGTTTTTTTTTTGTCTTTTGGTTTTTAGTGTCATCTTGTTGTTTTATGCTTTTGTATACGCTCTGGAACTATGCATTGTGTATAGAATCAAATCCGAATTAGTTTAAATGTATGGAACAATGTTAGCTTAACTTTGATGGTAATGTATTATTTTAAAGAATTGGATTATTGGGCTGCTGTCTAAGGAAAACGTAAGCAGCACCTGTGAAAAGCGAAAAACCCTCACATCAACAAAGCAAGTGAAACAACCACAAAACTCATGAAAAGTAGATTATTCGGTTTGGATTGTATCTCAACAGTCATCATGTCCACTAGTCAGACTCAAAGCGGCAGGAGAATGTTGGTTTGTTTCATCATTCAACACAATATATTTTGGTTGTTGTTATTAAAATAAAGATGTTCAAGGAAGGAACATTCATCACAAGTTTCTAAAGATGAATAAATAACAGAATGGCAATACATATATAAGATACTACAAAACATACCCGCAAATTTCTTAACAAAGAAACTAAATTAATAAAGTATTGGTTGATAGTAAATTAATATAAAGTATTGGTTGATACAAGGGTAGCAAGTGAAACAACAAGAACAACAAACTCTCATGGAGATAAATAGATTTGATGATCAGCCAATTCGTAAAAGATCCAAGCCATTGGCTAATTTTCTTTCTCTAGCTTGCTTTGCAGCAAAACATATACGCCTCGACCTGGCATGAGACTTGGCCTGCATCTTCCTCAAAAGATCAGGTCGACCTCTCACAAAATATTTGTGCCCAAATTCCATGCGGTGCTCTCCACTTATTTTTACAAATCCCTAACAACAACAACAAAAACACATAAAAAACAAAAAAAAAACCAATAATCAAAACACACACACACACACACCACACAGAGATGATGTATATATAATAATCTTGCAAAATCTGAAAAACTTACATATTCTTTAAGCTTGGAGTAAAACTCTTTGAAATCGTCGCATACCATTGCTCTGCAATTGGTAAGAATATTGGCGAGAAACTCTCCAGCATTCCAGATGATGAAACTTTTGTTGTTTTTGCCCCAAGAGATTATCGAATCCGTCGAAGGATCATCCACAGCTCTGTATATACCCCTGTAGAAGAAGTGCAAACCGATTGGGAAATTTTCGAGCTTCATCCCTAAACTTTTCGACTTCTCTCTCTCTAATTAATATCCCCACCGAAAAAAAACGATGAAACAAACCCTAGGAAGAAATCCAAAATATATATATATATATATATATATATATTTGTTTACTCCTCGTTTTTGGGCTACTAAATGATTTTGGGCTCAACTGTATTGACTTCTCTCTCTCGTTCGCGGGTTAAATATATGTATTAGTTTAATACAAATATTACTCGCGGGGTTAAAAACTGAATTATATGTAATAATCCTAATTTTTTTCTGAAATCAGCAAAAACTTTACATCTCTGAATTTTATCAAACTACACGTTCAAAGATGAATCATGTTATGTATAACTCCCAATCATGTAATTATTGCACACCGTTTAATCTTTTATATCTCTCAATCAACTCACTTTCTTCTCTATTTATTCTCTTTTATTCTTAGAATAGGATAAGAAATGAAATATAAAAAATAAAAATAATCAATCCAATTTATTGATTTCTTAATTCAAGTTTCGGACAGTCTCGATATTACAAAAATAAGTGAATACAATAATTCAAACAACATTTGGATCGTAGAACCAAATCGATCTTCCATGTGGGTCTTGAACCGGTCTTGAATTGGTCTCATAACCCTATTCAGTTTAATTAATAATTAGTAATAAATTGAATAATTACTACCTAATAAAATTACAATAGCAGTATCGACTACTTACATCGTCCACGGCGTTCCTTAGAGCTGCAATTTGCTCTTGCGATATTGTGTTCACCTACATATACAATTTTTTTTTATAGAAAAAGTTTCCCAAATTTTGCATTTTGTAATGCATAAAAATGTTATTTTTTATTAATAAATTATAAAAATATTAAGACATACCTTTTTGACGATGGTCCAAATCACACCTTCAGTGCAGGGAGGAACAGTGAGAGAGCCAATGTATCTATAGAATTTTTTGGTTTGAAATCTAATACTTCTTGGATCCACAATCCCTAGACTCTTCTCTTCTTTCTCCACTGTTTTTATTCCATTTAGTAGCTGCATTCAAAAATAATTATAAACCATTCTACATACTATCTTTCTATATAATATATTTTGTTTTATATTTTTACCCTTGTGAGGAATTCATTAGGTTTGCCCAATCTATAAAGAACTCCAATCACTGCAGTTTGGCCCCGAGCACTCGTGTGAACCATGTGTAGCTCCATGTCATACCTGTAACACATTTACAAATAAAATTAGAGTAATGATCATCTAATTATTATTATTTTTGTTATTTGCCATTTGTGAGGAAAGGCTCATTAGTTAACGAGATGGAGAAGGAAAACACAAACCGAGTTCCGTTAACGGTATGCTCAGACGGTGAATGCCAATGGCACTGCACCAATTTAAACTCTGTACCACGTATTGTTATTTTCCCAGCATCTCCTTTCCACGATACCTATTTTTTCATTATTGTTATCAGACCATGGTTTGTGTAATAATAATATTAATATAGTTAAGAAAAATCTTACCATAATGTCATGTCCTCGGTTCATAATTACAGCCGGAGCTGGTTTGTAGTCTCTGCTCCATGCTTGATCACGAATAAGACTAACTCTTTGGTTAGTGAGATCGATCGGAGATTGAAATTTTCCGGTGTTACAAACTTTCCAATGAGGATTCACTTTGCTCCATCCCTCTGGTCCTTTATCTGGATTTTGCTCGTACGTAAATGCTGTTTCATCCTCTGTTTTATAGTCAAAATTAATTCAACAATATATATATAAGCACTTAGTCTCTTTCACTTTAGCAAAAAAACAAGTACTAAGTTTGAATAAAAGTGAAATTTTGATTTTGCAAAAGTAAAAACATACCGACTTCATTCTTTGATGGGGCTTTTGTGTCCGAATCAGCGAGGGAAATATTAGGGAAACTTAAATAGAGGAAAAACAAACCGAAACAAAGAATAGCTTTTGTGTTAGGATCCATTCTCTTTATTTTTTTGAGATTTGATTTTGCTTAATGCTTATTATGTTCTTGAGAATTTTTTTTGGATATTTAAGGGTTTAGAGCTAGCCTATTTAAAAGGATGCTTTGGTGGGGGTTTGTTTTGCTGTTTTGTGTTATGGTTTCTGGCTTTCTACAGTTGATGAGATTATTAGTTAATGATTTGGTGTCTTTGTAAGACAAAATAAAACTGAAGACTTAGTGAACAAAAAAAAGGGACAAATTTAGAGTTTTCTAATTTCGCTCTCAATAGTATGTGAAAATTTTGACAGATAAGAAAAAATGACCTGGACAATAGAATTAAATTCGTGCATAAGAGAATATGCTCAATGCAGAACAAACAAAATTTAACCACCAAACCATAAAGTTACAGAAGTTATACACTAGTATTGATTTTTGTTAAAACAAAATAACAAACATAAATGGCGGTTCCGTAAAATTGAATTAAGTGTGCAGATTAATTCAGACATTCGGAAGTAATAGAGCCACATTAACAAATGTATGTACTTTTTTTTATCAAAACATAACTTAAGAGATTTATCAAATTACTTTCCGTCCTACCGTGTGTTATATTAAAAAAAAAAAACAATCAATCAATCTTCATTAACAAATATACGTGAACCACTGAACCCTAGACACAAAACTAATCTTCATCATATCAGCATTAGCCAACAGAGCTTGTGCAGTCCATTTAGCCAACTTTTTCCCGTTGGTCTTCAATTCCGCAGCTAAAACCGCAACTCTTTGAGTTTCAAGCTTCTGCCTCCAGTCAACACCAGAGTACTTTGGATCAAACTCGTTTAGAGAATTTAAAGTGAGGAACGATCTCTGATTGTTGAGATCAAAATGCATATTATGATATTATCAACAAGCTTCCATCTTTTATACCTAAACGCAACAGAAGCAATCTCCTCACCTTCATTAGCGAATGGATTCGCCTCATCAAAAACGTTTGCTTCTTCCCATCTCTCACCAAAACCTGCTGCGAAAAGTTCTGATTGATATAAGCAGCTTCCACACCTACTCGAGTAAGCAGAGTTGATATCATCTTTGGCAAAGGCTCTTGGGATGTCTCGTGCACAGACAACAGATCAAGCATATGGGCTTTGAAAGAACAATATTTGGGCTATTTTGATCATTTTGAGCATGTATATTGTTTTTTCTTTAATTATATTTTTGGTTTCGCTCTGGAGAATTATTATCCCAACCATATATCCCACAGCTTTTAGAGTATAAATTATCTTATGAAATATCACTCTCATAGTACAAGATGCAATTCATCGAAAGGACCAATAAAGTAGAAACGAAATAAAATAAAAAGCTGCAAAGAGATAGAGGAAAAGGGATGCACATTAGAGAGGATATTAGTTAACACTGTTCACAAGTTTCTTCAGCCTCTCATAAATTCTACTCCTAGCTCCATAATCACAATCTTCCACCTACACTTAAATTATAACTAAATTAACAATCAGCAAAAAAGAAATCATCAAGGTACATCTATAGAAATATAGTACTAGTCAATCAACTAGTTAAACAACCTACAATCAATTGGATGGGACCGATGTAGTTTCTTTGCATTTTGAGCGCATTCTAAAAGTTAAAAACGAGTAACACGTTGCATATGTTAGTTCACTGACCTAGCTTTGAATGTATTCGGTGTGGCTTATATCTAATTTCAACATTGTAGTAGTAGTATCAATTTTTTTTTCCTAAGTCTCAGATTGAAAATATTTTATTGGATTTACCAATATATACCTTGCTATGAATGGTGTGGAAGACGGCATCATCAACAATTGAGTATCCAGCATGAGAGATCTCAGTTCCTAATTCCTCAGTGAGAACGCGAATGATCTCATGATAGAACATAAACTTGTGTTCCAAGCTTGTCACAAGAAAGATGTGGAGAATCGAACCGGTTTCTTGAATCTCGATTTTTGGCAATCTTCTAGGCACGGAGATGTCGACACTCGAAGACATCGATGAAGATCCACTGGAATTCAATTTGTCGAAAGCTGCGGTTGCAAGAAGCTTCCTCTTCCTTTCTCTCTTTTTCTCTACGTTCACTTGTAGTTTCTTGATGTAGGATGCAGCTTCATCTAGCTGATCAGGTAGCGTTAAAGGCTCCTAACCATTAGAAACAAGAAAATGGTTTATATATAATAATAAATAGATAAGAATGGAATCACAGATCATATATATATATATATATATATATGTATAATATATCAGAGGACCAAGAAGAAGGAGAAACCCTAGAAGTTTGAGGAAGAAGAGAGTTAAGTTCCGAGTAAAGAGCTTTCATCTGAATCCTTCTATTTTTCTCAATCGTTTTGCGATCTGCAGATCTTGATTGACTTGTGTTTGAATGGCTCTGATCCATATTGTTTTTTTTTTTTTTCTGCCTTCTTGAATTGTTTCACATAGGCCATTAAACTCAATATTAACCACACTTATATAAAAAAAGAAGTTAGTTGGTTTAAGGGACATCTTAGTTCTCCTAATGATAATTAGTTTGTGCTAATAACAGTTTAGCGAAAAGGGGTTTGTAAAGGAAGATGGGTATATATACCAAAAGGCAAAAAGGTTACATGTGTAGAAAAGCAAGACAAAGTAAAAAAAAAAAAAAGTAAACTCTTTAAACATAATTCTTGACTTGTTATGATTATTTTTTTTTTTGTATTCATATAGTTATATATGAGCTTGTTACATTGGACGTAAGAAGAGATCAACAATAATTTATAAGAGTCATGAGTCAATGCATCATTAGTTTTGAATTGAAAATTCACCAACTCTCAATATCATACAAAATCACATAAAATGTGAGAACGAAACCAAAAAAATTAATATACATGAGACATGATATTATGCATCGCCTATAAACTTTAAATTGGAAGCTCATTAACTCCAACATGGTTTTTCATAATATGCATATTTAAATCAAAGATTTGCTAAAACGGACTTTGTGACAAATAATATATTCAAATTTTGGATCACAAGCTTTGTATATATAAAATTTTCCCTCTAAATATAACGCGTACTTTGAATTTTTGTTTTATAGAAGTTACTCAGTCCCTCCAGTCAATTGAGTTAATCGTACTTAACATTTACTTGCTATAAATATTTACACTTGTACTATATGACATTCTGATGATTTGTAGTTGAAAGATGAAACCAATAAGTTGAGAATCTAAACCCATAATTTCCTCAAGGTATAATCAATTTTCTTTTGATCTGAATACCATCATTGGAAAAACACGTAAGAATTGTTTTCTAGATATGTAAAAAGGAGAAGGATAAAAGAAAATGTTTATGAAATGGAGATTGGTGGGGATAGTATGGTCAACTTTTTCGCTAAGGCAATGCGTGGATGTTGTTGGACCACTAGAACATAGTCGACATAGTGAAATGCTCGTAATCTTTTGTTCCCATCACCAATTTGTAGATGAATCTTTATCAAGTGTTTCTCTTTTATCATGTACACACTAGATTGCTGTTTTATGTCGGATGCTTACATCATACGTATTACAATATTTTAGAATAACTATTTTTTTATTGAATTTGCTGATACGGCTAAATTAGGAATCGAAGTATTATTATAACATTCATTTTTGTGAAACAAAGAAATCTTCAAACATACCGCTTAATTTAAGAAACGAATGGAGTAACATTTTAAAATCTGTAATAAATCCAGTTAAAAATCAGTAAAACCTTAATAGCATAATGGTTCCATAAAGTAAAGCTCATGAACTTACATTCTCCATACATCAAGGCATCAAAGATAGCCCTCTAGCAAAACGCTTCCACCTAATTGCTTAGGCTGCAAATCTTTCACTGCTTTTGATTCTAACCAGTTCATCGACGCGACCTGTCTCTCATCTTTCGTGCACCATTCCGGCAAAACCTCAACCATTATCTTCTGCAACAGTTTCTGCTCAAATCCATCTCTCAGAAGCACTTCAAGGTCTTTAATGTTTCCCCTCAAATCCAACAAGACACTGCATAGTCCACGGTAATCCAAGATGGAATCCAAATTCATTTTTTCCAATACCACGGTTTCAATACCAGATTTGTCAACTTTAGTCATCACCACAAAATCAGCCCACACATCTGAATGAAGCTTCATACTCTTTTGCTCTGCTGAATTTTCGTTCGTGTCGTCGTCTTTGAACAGTTTGTCTCGGAAGTTTTTCTGGTCTTTTTGTCGCTGGTCCATCACACTTACTTCTATCTTTTTCAGCATTTCTATTGCTGCACGAGAATTTTCTTTTCCTCTGTTCTGATGACTTTCCTCTGCAATCGTCATCTTCTACATCAAGAAAAACTCTGCTTCGAAGACTTGATTTTGATGATCTATCTGGTCTATCAAACTTTCTGTTCTGATGAAAGTTTTCTGCATTTTCATCACTGCTGCCTGCGACCGCTCCTTTTCTCTGTTCTAGAGACATTCGATCATCAACCTCAATCAACCTCTGTTCATGTTTAGCATTTGTAGCAGCTATAAATCTCTGAGTTTCGAAATCTACTGTCAGTAGATTCGAAAAATCATGTGAATCCTATCAATAACAACACAACAATTCAAATAAAAAAAGTTAGAACTGATTATCAAAGTTTGCAGTGTTCATCACGATAACAACGACAACAAAACGCAAAATATAACAGATTAATTTGTAAAAGCTGAGACCAAAAGTATATAGAGAACAACTCTTACAAAATTATCCATTGAATCAATTCTATCTCAAGCTCTCAGCTTGGATCAGCTCTTTTACTTTGCTCTAAAACAATTAAGTTTCTATTACAATCTACATCGCAAACTCCCAAAACAATCAAGTTAGGTCAACTGTGTTTAAAACTCAAACACTCTACTATAGATAGAGGGTTTAAATCAGCATTATGAATCAAATCAAACCATACCGATTTGAATTTCAGCTTCTAAACCATTAAAAATCAAACCCGCGGACAAAACCCATTAATCCAGGAATTTGTCTTGGTCTAATCCACTAAATCCGCTAACCGCAACGGACTAAACTATAAGATCCACTAATTAGTGGGTTATAAAAAATTTGTCCAAACCTGTCCTACGGATCTAGATAGACTAAACCCGCGGATCTATAGTCCGTTTGAAACCCCTAATGGACGCCAAAAAGTTTTAGTCAATATGGTTTTTAAGGCTTGTATTTCTTTGCCTTTAGTAACGATAAAATTGTCATTTACTTCCATAGAGAAATTGAGACGACATTGGAAAAATAAACGATAATTACGCAGGCATTAAATCTTGGAAGAAAATTGCAGTAATGAATTGCAGAAGTAATAAGAAAATGTGGAATAAATGAATCATGAATTTATTTCAATTATCCCGGAAAAAAAAAACTGTAATCAGTAATGTAATACACATTTATTAGCAGTAAAATGTAGAAGGGATATAAATACCACGTACGAGTATGGGTCCCACATGCTGACCTCGTTGACTAGTTCAGAAACCCAAGGGAAGACCGGAAAAAGACAAAAGGCAGGCTACTTATTGGACTTTACTGATTATTTCGAAAGTATAATGTTCATTATCAGAAGAGACTAAGAAATCAGGGGTCAGAATTCAAAATCTAAATTTGAGTCTGAGATGAGAGTTCCGTGTGAGTCTTACTCACTCTCATGGCAATTTACTAAAAAACTGCACTTTGGTTCCGAGAATTTCATCAATGGCGATTCGCAGAGCGCTTTGTCTTTCCAAATTGAAAACCAATTTCGTGTTCGGGTCTTATTTACGGTTTCACCGATTCTCTTCGTCATCACAGCATTCAAATCAATTTCAGGTTCTGCTTTTTAAGTTTTCTCTCTGACTCAGAGGTTTCTTGTGTTTGGACTCCTTTTTTTTGGTATTTTTTCAAATTTTCTTGTCTATCGGAAAATATTATCTCTTTTTCTCATGAGCCACTAGAGTTTGCTTAAGGATGTTCGTCAGAATTTTGGGGGACGAAAATATCTTAGCTTTAATATCTCTCGCATAATTTTCAAAAATTTTGGTGGCCAAATTGTTATTTTTTGCTTGATTGCTTATCCATATTCATCAATTCCTGCACAAACAAATTTCTGGATAAAGTTTGTTAACGGCAGAATTTGTCTCATTTTTTCTCCAGAATGTTGGTTTCATAGGGCTTGGAAACATGGGATCAAGAATGGTGAATAATCTTGTTAAAGCTGGATTTAAAGTTACTGTTCATGACATGTAATATGCTTCTCCCGCTTGCTCCCTGTTGTTGATTGACTTTTCTCATACATATACTTTGTGTTTGATTTCACAGAAACCGTGATGTTATGAAGATGTTCACTAAAATGGGAGTCTCTACTAGAGAAACTCCTTATGAAGTTGCACAAGATAGTGAAGTTGTGATTACGATGCTGCCTTCATCATCTCACGTAAGTTATTATTACCTCTACGAAGAGTTTTATATTAGAACAAATCTTGAAGATCTTCCTCTGAGTTGTATGATCAGATGATCCATAATTGAGTAATAACTAGTGTATGAGATAGTATTGTTGTTGGTATTAGATGGTTCAAACTTGAAAGAATGTAAAATCTTTAAATTGTGTTCTCTTGATTGGGTGTATTTTTATAAAGAAAAAGAATTGTAATTCATGTAGGTGATGGATGTGTACACAGGGACAAATGGATTGCTTCGGGGAGAAAATGCTATAAGACCCGCTTTGTTAATAGATTCATCAACTATAGATCCACAAACAACCCGGAAAATCTCGCTTGCTGTTTCTAATTGTAAATTGAAAGAAATGAGAGGTAAAGCATGGATTGGATTTGAACGGAAGTTTCCTGAGTAAGTTATGAGTTATGACTAGTAGAAGTTCATGAACAGCATTTCTTGCTGGATGTAGGCCTTAGACAACATAATCGTTGTTTTGGGATTGTCTGATTTTAAACATTTTCGAGCATCTTTGACTGCAGAAAATTGGGAAAAGCCAGTCATGTTAGATGCTCCTGTCTCTGGTGGTGTTCTTGCTGCAGAAGCCGGTACACTTACTTTCATGGTATGATTTCGACCCCTCTTATTAGATGCTCATAACAATTTATAACATATAGTTTGGCATCTTACCTATACAAGCGCAATTTGAGATTGCACGTTTTGTAGGTTGGAGGTCCTGAAGATGCTTACTTAGCCGCTAGACCAATACTTGAGTCAATGGGTAGAACTTCCATCTACTGTGGTGGTTCAGGAAATGGATCTGTATGCTACAATATCTATTATCTTGAGTATATTAGTCTCTACAATTCTTTAAGGATGTATTTTTTTAATGTAGACTGAGAAATTCTTCTGCATTCATTGCATGACATGTTCTTTTTTTTCAAACTTAGGCTGCAAAGATTTGTAACAATTTGGCAATGGCGGTGAGTATGCTCGGTACTTCAGAAGCCTTAGCTCTTGGTCAGTCGCTTGGAATATCGGCCAGCACTTTGACAGAAGTTTTAAACACATCTAGTGGCCGATGTTGGAGTAGGTATGTAAATGAAATGACCTCATAGCATTGATAGTTCTTTTCTCTCAAATTCTTAACTTCATTATGTTCTTAAAAACAACAGCGACAAATACAATCCAGTTCCAGGAGTAATGAAAGGTGTGCCCTCTTCAAGGGATTACAATGGTGGTTTTGCATCCAAACTTATGGTCAGATTCTTAACAACTGTTGTTATATATTTGATCCTAGAATCTCTCTTCTTCTTTTTTTTCCAGCATCCTAAAATCTCTCTTAAACACAATGCTTTAGTTACGCAAGTCTTTCATGTGTGTATTGTTATATTTCAAAAATGTAGGCTAAAGACCTAAATCTCGCAGCAGCCTCAGCTGAAGAAGTTGGACACAAAATCCCATTGATATCTAAAGCACAAGAAATGTGAGTACTTCATTAGTCTTTTCTTCTATAAGTTTTCTCCTTGAAAGATGTTTTGTTCTGAACAAAGAGGGCTTGTGAGTGATGTCTATTGGACTTAAAACTATTTAAAATTCTTTTATGAAGCAATGCACACATATCATCAAGCTAGAGTTTTATTTATTTATTTTTGCAGTTACAAGAAAATGTGCGAGGACGGGCATGAAACAAAGGACTTTTCGTGTGTTTTTAGACACTTCTACAATGGCAAGGATGAAGTCTGAGACAATCTTTACAACGACCCTGCAAAATAATATGCATCCGAATCTGAATAGTCGGTTTCTTCGTGCATTTATATTGTTGGTTTTCATTACAAAGAATAAATATTTGTATGGTTGTGAATCTTGTGATGTGTTTATAAAGGGATTTGAAATGTAATTTTGATTCGGAAAATCTCTTGTTTGTGTTTTTTTTAACACACACACAAAAACAACTCTTGTTTGTGGCATTACTCTTGCATTCACCTTTCAAATTCAAAGTTATTAAGCTAAAAGTTAAAAGTTCCAAACTTTCATTTACCATCTCCCACAAATTAAGGAAAAAACATTCAATCATACCTTTTTGGTAAATGGACATTAAATTATACTTGCCCATTTGGTAACATCTTTTTAAGTTTGTTTCTAAAGTTGTTGTGAAGAGTAAATGGTCTAATAATGGGCTTAGGCCCATAAAAGGACATCCCACACTTGTAATGTCCAAAAAAAAAACCTCGCTTTTCCTCCCACCTCTACTGCTTCTCTGTTCAAAAATCCCAACCTTTCTTCTCTGTTTCTCGCTCAAACTGGTTATCACATGCCATTTCGCTTAATTCAAGGTACGTATTTCATTCTTGGTTGGATTTCTGCATCTGGGTTTCTTCGGAAATTTGACTTCATCGACTCATTTGTTTCTGTTCACAACGATTTGTTCACCCAACGCTTTTTCATACTTCTTTCCCGCGAAAAAATCTTTGCTTTACTACTCAAGTTCTTCTGTTTTCATCTCTCCGTTGTCTCTGTAAAGTAAAACCTAGTATTTATTCGGTTTTAGTTCGTTTTCATTATTCATATTTCTCATTTTCCACTTTGGGTTTAACTATTTTGTTTGTTGCGGAACGAAGATTCAACGATACTGAGAATTCAAGTCCTCACCTTTTTATTCTCTTAACTCACAACTAAACCCGGAATTTTAGTCATCTTCTTATTACAGCTCTCTTAGAAACCCTAATTTTTTGGGGGTTCTGTGCAGTCGCACTGTTTGCACAAAAAGTTATAGTTTTTCCTGATCTTGGCAAATACATATGTACTTCTTTTGTTTGTCCCAGTGTATTGAAGAAGCTACAGTGAGTTTGTAATGGTGGGTACGGAGAAGCAGACTCTTACTCCAAAGGGAATTATACATGAGAAGTTTGGTGTTAAAGCAATTTACAAGATCGAGGAAGTTCATGACTCTTCTCAGAAACGTCCATGCCTTTATCGATGCCACTTACAGCTACCAGACTTTTCTGTTGTGACAAATGTCTTTAAGAACAAGAAGGATTCTGAACAATCTGCTGCTGAACTGGCTCTCGAAAAGGTATGCTTTTGTTTAAATATCTCTTCTGTGATGGTTTATCAGATTATGTTGAAGAAGACAATACTACTCATGTTGCAGCTAGGCATTCAGCCTCCGGATGATGATGATGATGATGATGTTACTGTGGAGCAAGCTTGGGATGATATCGTTGAACGCATTAAGTATATATTTTCTGATGAGGTTAGTAGGTCAAAAACCAGTTTCAGATTCTCACATGTTTGTAAATATGACTTCATCAACTTTTAAAGTTATTGCCATTACAGTTTCTTTCAACTGATCATCCTCTAAGTAGTCACCTTAGAGCGGCACTACAAAAAGATGGTGAACGTTTTGGATCAGTTCCTGTTTCTGTCATTGCTACGTTTGATGCAAAGATTATCAGTCGCTGTAAAGTGATTAATCCTTCCGTGGACTTAGATCCTAACTTGGCCATGTCCTGTGTCATGGAGGCTGCTGCAAAGTTGTCAGACTACATTGTCGTATCTCCGCATGTAGCTTCACTTCGAAGGAAAAATCCATACCCTCCAGCAATTATAGAAGCACTGGCTCTCGTGTTGAAAGCATAAAATTTGAAGCTGTATATATACGATGTACCACTGGTGGTGAAGAGGTTGTTGAGCAAGTCACTCTTGATATTTCTTCAGAGCAGTATTACTTGGATATTATTGCTGAAAAGCTTGGTTTAAAGGATGGCAGCCAAGTGATGATATCCAGGTGGTTAAATTTGTCTCTTTTCTGTAATCAAATTGAGCTTTCTTGGTGTTAATCTGATGTTTTAAAATATTGTTGGTTTTTTTCAACAGGACGATTGGCAAAACGTCCTCTGGCTATGAGTGTAGGGTTTACTCAGCCATTCCTGAGTTGAGGTCTTTTGATAATTCATGGAAAGCACATGGGAAACGGCCAGTTGCTGAATCATCACATTTGGAAAAGTCACGGAATGCAAAAGCAAGTTTTGTTTGTGGTCAAGATGTTCATGGTGATGCGATCGTGGCATCTGTTGGTTACCAATGGAGGTCCCATGGTCTTGAACATGATGATGTAACCTTAAAGTCATTTTACAGGTCTCTACTCCTATCAACTTTTGCTCTCTTTTCATGTTTTGTTTTGCCTTTGTAAATCTCATCATGTTTTGTTTGGCTTGTGTAGGATATGTTGCGGTATCTCTCCTAATGGAATTTATAAACTCTCCCGAAAAGCATTAATTGCTGCGCAGTTGCCTTTAAGATTCACTACAAAGTCTAGTTGGAGAGGTCCACTCCCCAGGGAGATTCTCTGCATGTTCTGCCGCCAGCAAGAACTAGCTGAGCCAGTCTTTACTATATCTACTGCTCCTGTGAAATCAATGTCTGACTTACTAAGATCATACAAGAAGTTGAAAGACTCAGAGTCGGATAATAACAGCAATCAGTATATGAGCTGGGAAACTGAGGACTCAGACTGCGATGATACCAACAATCATCATTATAAGAGAAGGGAAAAAGAGGAGGAACCAGGATCAGGGACTGGGTATAGATGTGAAGTGAAGATTCTCTCAAAGTCTCAGGATTTGGTTTTAGACTGTTCACCGGGAAGCTTCTACGAGAAGGAAAACCGTGCTATTCAAAATGCTTCATTGAAAGCCCTCTCATGGTTTAGTAGCTTATTCGATGACCTGGATGCTGACCCGGAACAACCACGTTATACGAATCAAGACCTGGATTGGTTTTATCAACGGAATATCATGATCAAAGGGACTTTTCCAAGTAGTAGAAGATATAAAGAGCCCACCTCTAGATCAAAGACCACGGGTATGCATTCATACACTCGCGATAAGAAGCGTGTTCAATCTATACCTAATGGTTCCATGGTTAGTATAAGCTATTCTGTGTCCGTGGACGTAGACCTTGGCTTTTCGAAGAATGGTAAACCTTTAAAAGAACTCATCGAAAGCAATGAAGAGATAGAGTTCGAGGTAGGGAACGGATCTATGAATCCACATCTTGAATCAGTTGTTACTCAGATGTCTGTTGGCCAATATGGTTGTTTTTTAACTAATCAGCCTTCTGAAGGGTTGATTTTGGCTGCTGCCAGTGATACTGCGAGAACTCGCTCACTCTTATCAGGTAATGCTTCTAATGTTTTACAGGAAAGTCTTAACATTGTCTGTATAAACAGGTGTTTTGATGATAAGTTGCTTTGCTTTTAATGCCACAGAAATCTCAGCAGGTTTGGAATATCATGTACATTTGTTGGGAGTGAAAGGGCCGACAGAAAAACGAATGGAGGCAGATTTTTTCAAACCTACACTTTCAATACAGCGTGTTGAATTTGCAGTGAAACATATCAAAGAATTATCAGCTTCTAACCTGGTATGCTCTTCTTGTTTCTTGTTTTATCAGTACTGTCTTTATGCTTATTGTGATTCCAAATTCTTTCTGCGACTCCTTTTTTGATATTCCAGTCTCTATACTTGTTGCAGGTTGACTTTGGATGCGGATCTGGAAGCTTCCTAGGCTCTTTACTTGACTATCCAACTTCACTTCAAACCATTGTCGGTGTTGACATCTCACAGAAGCGTCTTGCCCGTGCTGCTAAGGTATGCGAAATCTTACGCACACCACCATCTTCTATACGTTTATTTCACTTGTAGACTTAACTTGATGAGACTACTAATGCATCTTAAAAACTGGATATGTGTTTGATCAAATCTGTATTTACGCTAGTCATGAGTCGTGTAACAAGTGAGGCTCCTACGTGGTTGTTTTTTTATATCATTATAAAGAGATGGATGAATGAAGATTGTTGATTTACATCAATATTTTCGCATGTTTTGTTTCATTTTCAGATGCTACAATCAAAATTAAACAAGGGAGCTGGCAACCTCAAATCTATTATACTCTATGATGGTTCCATCCTCGAGTTTGATTCCAGGCTGCATGACATTGACATCTGCACTTGCTTAGAGGTCCCCTCCTGTTTTCTTATTTCGTTTTTTCACTCTTAGCATTCAAAATTTTGTGAGAAAACTGTCTTTTACAACATCTTGTTTTACTTTACATATAATATGTAGGTCATTGAACACATGGAAGAAGATGAAGCCTGTAAATTTGGTGAAACAGTTCTAAGCTTGTTTCGGCCGAAACTTCTGATTGTCTCCACACCAAACTACGAGTACAACACAATTCTCCATAAGTCTGCTCGATACCACCCAAAAGACAAATCCATGTCACATCGGTCCAAGTTCAGGAACCATGACCACAAGTTCGAATGGACAAGGGCACAGTTTAAACGCTGGGCATATAAGCTCTCCCAACGCCATAACTACAGGGTCGAGGTAACCGGTGTTGGAGGGTCTAATGTGGATCCCGGGTTTGCTTCTCAGATCGCTGTTTTTAGTCGACAATCTTTCTTTGAGGTTGATGTTGTTGAAAAGGTCGCAGAAGGTTCGATGCAGTCTTATAAAGTCATATGGGAATGGAAAAGATGAGCAAGTGGAGACAAAAAAAAAGACTAAATCTTTGACAAGAGTATCAACCAGAATAGTCTTCAAGTTTGTAGCTTTAGAACTTGTGCTAGTTCAGTTTCTTCATGTATCTTCCTTATCACACTCTTGTTTGTGGTCTTATAATCTAATCTACTTTAGTTTTTAAATCAGTTTAACCTTAGTTAGTGATCAAAACAACTAAAACTAATGATTTTAAGAAAAAAAGTCTAATAAACAAATTAAACGCAGATTGAGGAATAAATAAAGGGGACCATTTTGCCTCATGTTCTCCTATTTCAAACTCCTCATAGGTTGATGGAACGGTTTAACAAAAATGGTTTTGGTGTCCTTTTTGCAAAAAAAAAAAAAGGTTTTGGTGGGAGCTTTTTCAAATGGTTAATACTTTATAGCGTCGAGTTTGACTCTATTTCGATATTTTTAAGGTTAGTAAGCCTTTGATTCTTTGATATATATTGAGAAAAAGACATCTTGAAGATATTAAACAGTCAGGGCTACTCAACCATGGAACATAAATATAGAGATTAGAGCCCTTAATCAGATTGTATTAACTTTTTTGTTATTTATTTTTAGAGTTTATAAGTTAAAAAAGACAACTAAAATGGGTATATTTTGATTTCATATCGTTTTTAACCCATAACATGAAGGAATCATGAACCAAAAAAAGGTGGAACTTGGGAAGAATTTTAAATTTACTCTTTTTTGTAAGAAAAGAATAAAGAAAGAAAAAAGAAAGACCTTTTGCACGATTTCACACAACTAAATGACCAAAACACCCTCATTCCTCCCTCTAAAACCCAACACTCTTCTCTCTCCGATGCTCTCTCCTCAGTTCTTCTACATGTTATTCCGCTAAACTTTTAAAGGTATGTAGTTTGATTCTTGGTACTTTATGTTGTTGTGTATCGTTTTGCAATTTCTGGATGTTTTTTTCTTTCTGAAATTCAGTTTCGTTTTGATCCATCGTTTCTGTTCATGACGATTCGTTTCTATTAATGCCACTCAAGCTCTTTTTCCCTCTACTTACTTTTACGCAAACCCTCTATCTCTACTTCAACGAAAAATCGTTGCTTGACTCATTTTCTTGTGTCTCGTCTCTCTCTTTATCCATCGCATGTGCATAAAACCTACCACAGCAATCGATTCTGTTTCTTTACCATTATTTGTTTTCGAAACGAAGACTCTAATCAGATAATCAGGACAATTGGTTAGATTGAGAACATTGAGAGTGTGGGAATTCTGGTTCAATTCGAAACCTTTTATTTAATTTTAATGTTTTGTATGGCTCTGATTTTGAATGGTCAAGGGTAAAGTCATCTTCTTCTTGTTTTCTTAGAAATAGGCCTTCACATTTTGCACAAAAGCTACTAACTTTACTGCTCTTTGGAAATATTTATATTGACCCTTTGTTTGTCTCAGTGTATTAAAGAAGCTACATTGCGTTTTGTGATGGCGGGTGGAGGGAAGCAGACTCTCACTCCAAAGGCAATTATACACCAGAGATTTGGTGCTAACGCAAGCTATAGAATTGAGGAAGTTCATGACTCTTCTCAGAGTGGTTGCCCAGGGTTAGCAATCCCTCAAAAAGGTCCATGTCTCTATCGCTGCCATTTGCAGCTACCAGACTTTTCTGTTGTATCAAATGACTTCAAGAAGAAGAAGGATTCCGAACAATCTGCTGCTGAACTGGCTCTCGAGAAGGTAAGCTTTGCATAAATACTCTCCTCTGTAATGTGTTATCTCCCATGTTAACGAAGACAATACTATTGGTGTTGCAGCTTGGCATTCGTCCTCAGAATGATGATCTTACTGTGGATGAAGCTTGGGATGATATCACTGGACGCATAAAGTACATATTTTCTGATGAGGTTAGCAGATCAAAAGAAATTTCTGATTCTATAGTCTTGTAAATCCCTTGAAGAAAATTGTAACTTATGAAGTGTTATTGGCATTAATGTTTTAAGTTGTTGCGATTGCAGTTTCTTTCAGCTGAGCAGCCTCTGGGAGCTCACCTTAGAGCCGCATTACGAAGGGAGGGTGATTGCTGCGGCTCAGTTCCTGTTTCTGTCATTGCTACATTTGATGCAAAGATTAACAGTCGCTGTAAATTTATCAATCCTTCTGTGGAATCAGATCCCTCCTTGGTCATTTCCTATGTCTTGAAGGCTGCTGCAAAGTTGTCGGACTACGTTGTTGCATCTCCGCATGTAGCTTCACTCCGAAGGAAAAATGCATACCCTTCAGAAATTGTAGAAGCACTAGCTACTCATGTACCTGATTCCCTAGATAGCAAAGAAGTCGAGGCTGTATTTATACCATGTAAAGGTAAGGAGGTTGTTGAGGCAGATGCTCTTGATATTTCATCAGGCCGGTATTACTTGGATGTTATTGCTGAAAGGCTCTGCTTGAAGGATGGCAGTCAAGTGATGATATCCAGGTAAATAAAATTTAGTTTTTCTATAAAGAAGTGGAGTTTTCTCGGTGTTAATATGGTATTATGGTATGTAAATATTTTTTGGTTTTCAACAGGACTCTTGGCAAAGCTTCCTGTGGCTCTGAGTGTAGAGTGTACTCTGCTATTCCTAAGTTTAAGTCCTCGGATAATTCTTCGGAAGTCTCTGGAAGTGCAAATGAAGCTCGGAATGCACGAGCAAGTTACATTTGTGGTCAAGATATTCACGGGGATGCAATTTTGGCATCTGTTGGCTACCGATGGAAGTCCGAGGTTCTTGACTATGATGATGTAACTGTAAAGTCATTTTACAGGTCCATTTTCTCCTATCAACTTTTGCTCCGTTTTATGTCTGGATATTGCCTTCTCACATCTTCTTTTACCATAAGGATTTTGCAAAAAACAATGCATTACTTACGTCTATTGAACTCTCAAGTAATGCATTTGATGTTCGTCTTGGCCTTCCGATGAAGCACTGCATATCTTATCATGCACTGATACATGACATTGGCTTTTTGGCTTGTGCAGGATATGCTGCGGTATGTCACCCAATGGCATCTACAAAATCTCCCGAGAAGCATTACTTGCTGCGCAATTGCCTGTTTCATTCACTACAAAGTCTAGTTGGAGAGGTCCACTCCCGAGGGAGATTCTCTGCATGTTCTGCCACCAGCACCGACTAGCAGATCCTGTCTTTTCCGTATCTGCTGATCCTGTGAAATCGTTGTCTGACATATACAGATCTCACAAGAAGTTGAAGTTCTCCGGATCTGATGATGACGATGATGAGAATTTGAATAGGGAGAAAGAGGATGCACCAGGATTAGTGCATGGGTATAGATGTGAAGTGAAAATTCTTACGAAGTCCCAGGATTTGGTTTTAGAATGTTCACCGAGAAAATTCTATGAGAAGGAAAATGATGCCATTCAAAATGCTTCACTGAAAGCCCTCTTATGGTTTAGTAAGTTTTTCGATGATCTGGATGTGGGTGGATCAGATACAGATGACGACCAGGATGTTAAATCTCCAAGTACTAATGTTTTTGCGGCTCCACCTATTCTCGGAATTGGAGACAGCTCAAAGACCACGAACGTGCCATCGCGAGAGAAGCGTGTTCAATCTATAACAAACGGTTCTGTGGTTAGCATATGCTATTCTTTGTCTTTGGCAGTGGATCCTGAACACTCGGGTGAGAGTGAATCTCCAAGCGAAGATATTGAAAGCAACGAAGATATTGAAAGCAACGTTGATATTGAAAGCAACGATGATATTGAAAGCAACGATGATATAGAGTCTGAGGTGGATGCTGAACATCCATGTAATTGTGAACCTTCAATAGATCTCATTGAAAGCAACGAAGAGTTTGAGTTTGAGGTAGGAACTGGAGCGATGAATTCACATATTGAATCAGCTGTTACTCGGATGACTGTGGGTGAATATGCTTCTTTTAATACCACACTGCCTGCTGCCAAAGCTTTGATTTTGGCTGCTGCCTCTGATACTGAGAGAATCCGCTCGCTCCTATCAGGTAATGCTTCTAAAGTTTACATTTGTTGCAGGTCATAGGATAATCTCTTAGAACGTTTTTCTGGTTGGAACAGAGAAAAACTTCATCAAATGTTGACATTTGTTGCTGCCTTCACCAGTGTACTAAGTCTAGAAATTTGATCTAGTCTAACCAGTAATTATCAAGCTTTGATTCTGCTGAATCTATGATAAATTTACTTTGCTGCATACTCGTCTTTATCTGTGACTATAAGAGATTCCATGGAGCATGAACAAAAAAATAGACCTATATCTGTGACTATAAGAGATTCCATTGACATAATATGTGTGATAGTGATGGATTCCTCTAATTGTATGCACAGCACGTCCAACTTTGGATTACAGTATACTTTTGTTGGGAGTGAAAGGGCCGACAGAAGAACGAATGGAGGCGGCTTTTTTTAAACCTCCACTTTCAAAACAGCGTGTTGAATATGCAGTGAAACATATAAAAGAATCATCAGCTTCTACTCTGGTATGCTCTTCCTGTTTCTTATTTTATCATACTGTCTGCTTTCTTTGAATTATTGAAGACTCTTTTTGGTGAATATTTGACAAGCGTGAGATGGCACCTCTATACTTGTTGCAGGTTGACTTTGGATGTGGTTCTGGAAGTTTATTAGACTCTCTACTTGACTATCCAACTTCCCTTCAAACCATTATTGGGGTTGACATCTCGCCGAAAGGTCTTGCCCGTGCTGCTAAGGTAACATAACTTGATGAGCCTAGTGCATCTAGAAAACTTTATATGTGTTTGATGAAGACTGCATCAGTGCATCTCATGAGTCGTTAAGATGTCAAACTCTCTGTTTAATGCTATCAAAAAATAGATTATTGTTTACATTGGTTATTTTGTTTCTTGTGTTTTAATTTCAGATGCTACATGCAAAACTAAACAAGGAAGCTGGCAACGTCAAATCTGCTACACTTTATGATGGCTCCATCCTCGAGTTTGACTCTAGGCTACACGACATTGACATCGGCACCTGCTTAGAGGTTCTCTTATTATCTACTTTCTAATACTTAGTGCATGTTCAGTCAAAAGATATCTTTCTGGTTTTACTTCACATATAATATGTTCCGGATCTGTAGGTCATTGAACACATGGAAGAAGATGAAGCCTGTGAATTCGGGGTAAAAGTTCTAAGCTTGTTCCGGCCAAAGCTCTTGATTGTCTCAACACCAAACTTCGAGTACAACACAATTCTCCAACAGTCTACACCAGCAACCCAAGAAGTGAACCAGCCAGAAGACAAAACCGAGTCACAGCTTCCCAAATTCAGGAACCATGACCACAAATTCGAGTGGACAAGGGAACAGTTCAACAACTGGGCTTCTAAGCTCGCTGAACGCCATAACTACAGCGTCGAGTTCAGTGGTGTTGGTGGGTCTGGTGAAGTAGATCCCGGGTTTGCTTCTCAGATCGCTGTTTTTAAACGAGAAGCTTCACCTGAAGATAAAGTTGTTGTTGAGAATGTTGCAGAAGGATCGATGCAGCCTTATAAAGTCATATGGGAATGGAAGAAAGGCAATGGAGAGAAAAAAGACTGATCTTTTGGAATCTGATGATGTTCTTCAGCTATAAAACTCAAAGCTTGTTTAGTTATTTTGCCTTGGATAATGTTCAAATATCCATTGCCTCTAGGCTACTCTACTGACAGTTGAAGTTTTAAAAAGTTAGATTAATGCAAATTACGCTTTTGCCCCAGCATCAAAGTTTGTTTCATTTTATATACGAGTCCTTGAAATTTTGAAAGTCTCTGTTCTTTCTCCGACGCTGAGTCTTTCCAGCGAAAGCATTTGGGTATTTGATGATCTTGCACTTTTTGCTTTTGTGTTCTTGATCGTTTACTTGGGACGATCTCTGACGAACACGAGAAATTGAATTCTGGGAAATCTTTCTGGAGAAATTGACGAGAATCGACGAAAATGTGTCCCTGCGAAGATCGTCGACCTCCGCCAGGGGCTTTCTGGACTCCGCCGCCGACGTCGAACACGAGAACAAGAGATCATGCGGCGGCGATGCCGATGTCGGAGAGGAGGAGACCATCGTCGTCGGAGAAACGTGATCCCTTTCACATTGTACACAAGGTTCCTTCTGGTGATTCTCCTTACGTCAGAGCCAAACATGCGCAGGTATGATAGATTTTCCCGGGAAAATCAAAGAAAGTGAAATTTTTCTTTTGACCTAATTTAGTGTTTCTAAATCCTTCTCCTCTTTCAATCCAAAACATGTGAGGATTTCTCTTAACGCATTTTACACTCTGTCGCTGAACCAATCTTTGAGCTCAATTTTTCAGTGATGTTCTTGATTCTGTGTTTATTAAATATGTATATGATTGTGTTTTGCTAACATATGGAATTCTGAAAAAAAACAGTTGGTATCTAAAGATCCGAATCGAGCTATATCTTTGTTTTGGGCTGCGATAAACGCCGGAGATCGAGTTGATAGTGCATTGAAGGACATGGCAGTTGTGATGAAACAGTTAAACCGATCTGATGAAGGAATCGAAGCCATCAAATCCTTTCGGTATCTCTGTCCTTTCGAGGCTCAAGACTCCATTGATAACTTACTCCTCGAACTCTACAAAGTAATTAAGAAACAACTCATCTTTTTTCTTCTGATGCAAGTGTTATGGATGTTTTCTTATACTTCAAAATGGGTTTTCGCAGAAGTCAGGGAGGATCGAAGAAGAAGCTGAATTACTTGAGCACAAGCTGAAAACACTCGAACAAGGAATTGGGTTTGGTGGTAGGTTCATTAGAGCTAAAAAGGTTCAAGGAAAACATGTCACGATGACTATCGAGCAAGAGAAAGCAAGGTGACAAAATTATTCTTCTCTTCTTCTCTTAATGAGTACGTTGTCACTTGAACTGACTTCTTCATTGTTGTTTGAACATTTTAGGGTACTAGGGAACTTGGGCTGGGTTCATTTACAGTTACATAACTATGGAATTGCAGAGCAGCATTACAGGTTTGGTTCTTGTTACCAAATACGAAATATTGACCTTGTGACTCTTTCTTATATGCAATTATTATCAATGAACAGGAGAGCTTTGTGTTTGGAATCAGACAAAAACAAAATGTGCAACCTCGCCATCTGCTTGATGCGTATGGGTCGGATTCCAGAAGCTAAATCTCTGATTAGTGATGTAAGAGATTCTTCTGCAGATATTGAATGTGGGGATGAACCATTCTCGAAGTCTTATGACCGAGCCGTTGAGATGTTAGCAGAAATAGAGTCGAAAAATCCAGAAGATGATGGTCTCTCGGATAAGTTCTATGCGGGATGTTCATTTGCAAGAGGAATGAAGGAAAACAAAGCTCCTGGAATCGCAAACAGGAACTACTCACATGTGTCTTCTTCTCCAGCATCTGTTGGGCCAAACTCTGCAGGACTATTTACACAACCACGGGGATGCAAATGGGATCAGAGAAAATGGAATTATGAGGAAGAGACGAGAGGTGCAGCTCGAAAGCTTTTGTTTGAGAAACCTTTTGGTTCTGAACGTGTTCGAATTTTGAAGAGAGGAGAAGAAGAACCCATGAAGGGAAAGAAGCTGGACCACAACATGATTCATGATCTCCATGAATACATCAAAGATAATGCAGATTGTATGAAGAGTGGATCTAAGAAAAGCTGGGCAGATATCGCTGAGGAAGAAGAAGAAGAGAGATTGCAGGCAGAGCTTGAAACTGCAGCGACTTAGGATCTTACCGAATTGGTTATATCAAGTTTTTGGTCTGAGAAATTGTATAGGCTTGACAGACATAACAAAGAAGCATAAGGGATCTAATCGTTACTGGTTATATCAAGTTTTTGGTCCGTGAAATTGTAAAGGCTTGACAATGAAATATTTTCATAGACAAAACAAAGAAGCATAAGGCATATATTTGATTACACTCGAGAACAAATCTTAGTTTTTTTTTGGAAAATTATTCAATAACAAAACACACAGCACAAAAAGAGAGGGAATTCAATTCAAGGAACAAAACATAAAAGAAGAGATAAAAGAAATGAGTGCGACGACTTACATCTTGTGTGAAGCCTTACAAAAGTAGTAATCAAATCATATTTTCTTAAGCTTCTTCTTCTTCTTCGTCCTCCTCATACTCCTCTTCACCCACTGTTGCATCCTGATATTGCTGATACTCTGCAACGAGATCATTCATGTTACTCTCAGCTTCAGTAAATTCCATCTCGTCCATTCCTTCTCCTGTGTACCAATGAAGGAAAGCTTTTCTCCTGAACATGGCAGTGAACTGTTCACTCACACGCCTGAACATTTCCTGGATCGAAGTCGAGTTTCCTATGAAGGTCGCTGCCATTTTTAAACCCGTGGGAGCAATATCACAGACGCTTGATTTCACGTTGTTTGGAATCCATTCAACAAAGTATGATGAGTTTTTGTTCTGGACATTCATCATCTGTTCATCGACCTCTTTGGTGCTCATCTTTCCACGGAACACAGCAGAAGCTGTCAAGTAACGGCCATGGCGAGGATCAGCTGCGCACATCATGTTCTTCGCATCCCACATCTGTTGCGTTAGCTCAGGGACACTCAAGGCACTGTATTGTTGAGATCCTCTTGATGTCAATGGTGCAAAACCAACCATGAAGAAGTGGAGTCTTGGGAAAGGGATAAGATTGACAGCGAGTTTTCTAAGGTCGGAGTTTAGTTGACCAGGGAACCGGAGACAGCATGTGACACCACTCATGGTAGCTGAGATGAGGTGGTTTAGGTCACCAACTAAGGAAACCACAGAAGAAAGAAGAGCAATGTCAGGGTTTTCAAAGTACATTTTGCATAAATATTGGAAAAGAATACGAGGAGAAATGGTTTTATAAACTCACATGTAGGATTAGCAAGCTTCAAGGTGCGGAAACAGATATCGTAGAGAGCTTCGTTATCCAAAACCATACATTCATCAGCATTCTCAACAAGCTGGTGCACGGATAGTGTAGCGTTGTATGGCTCAACCACAGTGTCCGAGACCTTAGGTGAAGGGAAAACCGAAAAGGTCATCATCATACGATCTGGATACTCCTCTCTGATCTTTGAAATGAGAAGAGTTCCCATGCCTGAGCCAGTTCCTCCTCCCAAAGAATGACAAACTTGAAAACCTGTTCAAGGAATGTGAATCAGAGACTGGCGTGTCACGAATCTCAAGCCATCACACTGACAAAAATTACAGAAACAACGCGCATCGACGAAGTCGTCAGATACATTTCTTAGGTAGCAGGGAGATCTCTAGTAATCACAGAGAAAACCTCGCGCGAACAATGAAACTCGAGAAAAACGAAGACGTATCTAATAGCAGATCTAGATTCGAGTGAAAACCTAATAGATCAAACACAAGCAGGGAAAAATGAGATTCATAAACCGAAAACCTAGAAAATGAAAGCGTATCTCACCTTGAAGACAGTCGCAGTTCTCAGCTTCCTTCCTCACAACGTCAAGCACAGAATCAATCAACTCAGCTCCCTCCGTGTAATGACCTTTCGCCCAGTTATTCCCGGCACCAGACTGCCCAAAGACGAAATTATCCGGCCGGAAAATCTGACCGAACGGCCCGGATCTGAGAGAGTCCATGGTTCCAGGCTCCAGATCCATGAGGACGGCGCGTGGAACGTACTTGCCACCGCTGGCTTCGTTGTAATAGACATTGATCCTCTCAAGCTGTAGATCTGAGTCGCCGCAGTATTGGCCGGTGTGGTCGATGCCGTGCTCGCCGCAGATGACTTCCCAGAACTTAGCACCGATCTGGTTTCCGCACTGGCCTCCTTGAATATGAAGGATTTCTCTCATTTTCAGCAGGTATTTTCTCTCCTTGGAATCGCTTGTCTTTTTCTCGAGAAAATGTGAGAAAAATTGGCGACTCCCCCTCGTTTATTTGTTTGATTGAGGGGTATAAAAACAAAAGAATCTTTGAATGGGTAGTAATCGGCTATATATAGTTTACGTCCTTTTTTACTTAAAATTCTGAACTTATTTGCAGTATGATCCTTGTATTTTTCTTGATCTCGTCATAATACCCTACAATAATCGTTTTCTGTTTTTCGGATTTGGTTTCTTTATGTGCTGTATGACAGCGAATCAAATGAAATATCTTTCCATAGATATTTTGTGATCAATAATAATATAAAACTAAAATCCCTCGTGAAAAAGACATAAAGGCAAACAGTTTTGTATAGTTTTTTTTTCTAATTTCCTTTTCACTTGGAAAATTGTTTAGTTATAAAGTATTTTTGATTAGATCCTTTTCTCCGCCGGATATTGAAATTGAAGACCAAAAGATTCGAATTTGCGTCATCAGTGGATTTTACTTTTGTTGTATTTAACTAATTTAGTAAGTTGATTAATATTTATTACACCATTAATAGCCATTTACTTATTAAGCAAATCACCGTAATAACCTAGATTAGCTGACGATAAGAATCCGAAATAAATGGCTTACAGGCCAATGCCAATAGTTGCCAACCCATCACAGTGCTTAATATAGTAGATACGTCGAGTATGATTACAAGTTTTACAACACTCATCAGTTAAAAGTTAAAACAAAACAAAACAGAAAAGGACGATTTAATATATAGTTGTTGTGTTGCATATTTTTCAAGCGAAGAAATAAATATATTCTGCATTGCATATTTGCATGTTTGCTTATGTCAAATTCATAATATGGATCAGCACTATTCAGCAGTTCAAATTTGTATTTTGTAATCTATCAGGAAGATTTTTAACATCTAACTATAGGCAACAAAATTATTGATAGTTACCAGTTTTAACGATAGAAAGTTTTTTACTCAAATTATCTTCTGAAAGATATAATTAAGAGATAGAAAACGCAAGAATCTTAAAAATAGCTAAAAGACTAAAACTAAGTGACCATGCCATTGTGCCAATGTCTACAAATAATATGGATGCATATATCTGTTTTGCAGTCTAGATTATTTTGAGATTAACTAATTTGTTGGTTTACAACATAGAATTGAACAAAAAACTAAATCTATTTCGGAATGGTTTGAAAAAATGTTGGTACGCTTATCTGACTCAATTTTGGTTTGGTTTTGTGTAAAAAAATAAACGAAATACAATTAAATGAAAATATTTTAAAGCTACTGTCAGAGTCATTAAATATCATCAATATATATACTGTATATATATTCTTAATTTTGTACATATTGCTAGAAATTAATCTGGATAAATTAGTTTGTGTAAATTACTTAAAAATCCATCTAAGCTCGACCTAAGTATGGTAACTGATTAATTATAAGAATTCAAATTTAAGTTTAATTAAATTTTATTCGTTTCAGTATCAGTTTCAGTTTCAGTTTCAAATGTTAAACGTCAGTTAAAGGACGATATAAAAAAAAATCAATTAAAGATTTGATATTTTAGTTCGATTTTCATTTGGTTTAGTTTTTTTTTTTGGTTGATTTCAAAATGCTAAAAATCTTAAAATTTACCTAGTACTGTAGTACAGTTGTACATAAATAGAAAACGAAAAAAAAAGTAGATGTTAAAAATAAATAAATAAAAAACGAAAAAAGCAAAGTAATTTAAAAATAAATAAATATAAATAAATTGGTTTAAGGCACGCGTCGTCCTGTAATGTCTTTTTAGCGGTTTCCTCATCATATAGCTCGCGTCCTCTCTCTCTCTCTCTCTGTCCATCGCCTTCACTTTCTGCGCGAAGAAAAGACATTGTCCATTTATTGTGTTTCTCTCTTCATTTTCTTTCTCCAATGTCTTATTAATGGTTTTGATCTTCCAACCAGATCTTCTCTATCTCTTCGACAAACCCTTTTTTCTGGGTTCTTCGGAGAGGTAATAACAACAACAAACAACAACCCGAAAAAGAAAAAAAAAAGGTCTTTCCTTTTTTCATTTTTAGTTTTCTTCGCCATGCCTTTGCCTTGGAAGAAATCGAAATCGGGTCGGATCTCGAGATTCGTATCGGACCTCCAACAATCTCCAAAACACGGCGGATCTCTCGTCGTCGAAACTGGATTCCCAACTTCTCTAATCGATCTCTTCGTTAAGAATCGCGATCGTCTCAAGAAATCTTCTGCAAAACGCAACAACAATAACAACAAAGCTCAGGCTCAAACCGCTTCGAATCATCCACATCCGCAACGACGGCACGTTTCGTCTCCGCCTCCTCCTCCTTTGCAGCGGCGGAGGTCGCTTCCTCTGAAGCTTGATCCACCGTCGGTTACGGAAGATCCCGCGGCGAGCAAGATCGAGGACAGTTTCGTCGCTGGCGGTGGCGGTGGCTCAACCGCTGAGAAAAGACACGACGGTGACGACGACGGCGCCGGGAACGGAAGTAATCGCGGCGGAGGAGGATGCGTTTTGATGGTGGTGGTGCTTAAGGTTTTCGTGGTGGCTGTGCTCGCATTGAGCACGAAAAGGCTCGCCGTTGGAATCACTATCTCCGCCTTCGCGTTACTCTTCCTCGAGCTCGCGGTGGCGCGTGTATTCACGCTCCTTAATCTCTGCCCCGGCGCGCAGGTTTGGCTCGATTCGTTGATCGGAAAGCTCATAGGGAAGCGGCGACAAGAGAAGTCCTTAGAAGAATCATCATCGACCCACGAGAGAAAGAAGAGTGTTTCTTTTGAAATCGTCGAAAGTTTCGAAGAATCCAAGGATTGCATTGAGGAAATCCGAGTTCCTAAACCGGAGAAGAAACCGGGATTCGTCGACGACATTGGATAAGGCAGAGGAGAGAGAGGTGCAGACAATTAGAGATGTGGTGTTTAAGAAGGAGAAGAGTAAAAGCGCGAAATTGAAGTCGAAGATTGTGAAGAAGATTGTGCCGAAGAAGTTGAGGAGTTATAAGAAGAAGAAGAAGATGAAGATCAAAGAAAAAGAAGAAGGGGAAGAGGTAGAGTTAGTTGAAGAAGAAGAAGGAGGAGAAGAAGAAGAGTCTGTGACGGAAGCGTCCAGCTTGTTTTCTGAGGAGAGAATCGAAAGTGAGATCTCTGAGAGAGACGATGTAGGTTCGAATCCGCCATTGCTGGAGAGTTGTGAAGAGATTATTGAAGAAGAAGAAGGAGAAGAATCTGAATCAAAAGGGGATCTAACGAAAGCGATGGTTCTGATAGTGATTGTTCTTACTGGATTGTTAAGCGGGAAAGTCTTTGCTATTGGTCTGACACTCTCTTGGTGTCTGATTCTGAGAGTTGTCTGCTGCAAATCTCAAACCAGTCTCTGAAGTCTGAACCAAAAAAAAAAGCCTTTGGGAATTTTGTTGTTGTTGTTGTCTGTTTCCGTGGCAGTGGTGGGCCCTGCATATCGCCGTTAGTTACTGACGGTGACGGTGTTGACGGAGGTGTTGTTGGGTGGGTTGGCAGTAAGCTACAATTGTTTGCTTATGAAACTGTAAATTTTTTAAAAAAACTTATTTAACAGAGAATGTTGTTATTATATGATGGTCAAAGAGTCAAAGTTGTTGTTTAATGTGAAGGAAAAAAAAAGTAATTAATATAGAAAAACCGGTCATTGTTAATAATGAAAGGCAGAGAGCATTAAGGTTTGTGTCGGCCAAAAAAACAAAGCACTAACTTGTGAAAGAGTTTTGTAAGTTTTGTTGTTTTTTTTTCCTTTCTTTTTGGTCAATGATTTTTTTTTTTTTTAAGATTATGTGGCGACATTGAAACGGAGATACATAATGATAGCAGTGTCCTGTATTTGATACATCCAAGATAATCTTGGATTTGCTAATGGCGTAATGTATGGGATGTCTCTTTCACGAATTAATTGGCTTTAGCATTTCTTTTGCCTTTCACAATTGCTAGAATCAACTTTTCCAAAATTGGATCCAATCATTTTATCATATATATAAGTTGATCTCTGAACCCTCATTCCAATTTTTTTAATAACATTTTTCACATCATCTTCATGGAAATTAAAGAAAATCTAAATGAAGATACTAATAGCATGACTTAGTTGTGAAACAATAAATATAGAGATTGTTGTGTTAGAGAAGATTGCTTGTTAATTTATATGTCATGAAATCGTATCGCAAAATATATAATGTTGTATATATGAAGGAATTGCACAGATTGAAATCTCGACCTAATTTAAAGCACATAATGTATACTATTATTTATATAGTGAAAAGCGTAAGTGCTATATCATGCATACCATTTAAGATTTGTGGTCATGTCTGTTAGTTTATGTATATACATAGACTTGCTAGTTGAGTAGTTCCCAGCAAATGTGTAGGGTAAAGATCCCATGTGTTTATGTATATATTTCTACAGAAAAAACAACACATCACATCCAAAACCATATTGGTAGTGTGCTTGGAACATTTTTTATTATAGGGTTAGAGAGGAGATTATATAGTTGATTATGAATCCATGATTAGCCAAAAGATATATGATCCCTTCGTCCAACTCATGCTTTTTACAAAAATAATACAAAGCTTACATTTCAGCTTTACATCGTTGTGTCATCATCGTCTACTGTGAGTTTAGTGTTTCCGGATCGATTATTGAGTTCATATATATATATATATATATATATATCATATTATATTTCATTCAAATCGAAACTTTACAGGATTAAAAATCAACCAAAAGTCTCTAATTCAATAAAGTTAAGTACTTAAGATATAAATAAAATGGTTGATTAAATTTTTTTTGTTTAAAATTATCTGTCATTAGATTTTTTGTTCCTGTATGCTTGATTAAATTTCGAATTAATGATGCAACAAATTACGTCCACGCCACATGAATCATGATCTATTAAAATAAAAATTTCTGGTGAGATATACTTTTAAATAAAAATCCATTACTCATTGTCCATAGATATGAATCATACATATGATGGTTTAAACGTTTTACGTATCCCTTGTGCTGGCGAACGTGAAAAATCTTTCGCATGCGTAGCTGTAAAATTTGTCAGAATTCAGAACTTCAGAAGTGGAATAAAGAAAACAAACTTAAATGAATCCTACGAAATGAGCATTTAACCCTTTTTTTTTTTGGAGAAAGGGTGTACTATGGGCATTTAACTTGTGACATTGTTTGTTTTTGTTTTTTAAATGGTTTGATAAAGCCTGTGATATTTGCTTTTCCCTAAAAACTTCTAATATGACTTATTTACTTAATGCATATTAAATAAACATTATTAGACATAAATATTTAATACCCAATGAGTCAATGCATGCCTTACAAACCAAGAAGGGGGTATGTGTTGTAATTTAACTATTATTAAAAAATTTATTTTTAGTAAATCTAATAAAGGAGAGAAGATTTTTGACATAAAAGTAACCACTGTTTTCTATTTTTGGTATTTCTTAGAATGTGGATTTCTGACGCCAAAAAAAAAAAAGAATGTGTGTTTCTACAAAAATTGCATTTTCTATACAATAAAAAACTTTTTTTATTTGCTCTTACAGAATAGCGCAACCATAAAACAAAATTTTTATACGACATCATCTTCCTTAAAATGAAGATTTTCTTTCTCAACATCAGCCGATTTTCTTCTTCTTTTTTTGTGCCGATTTTAACAAACTTAATTACCTTAAAAACCAAACGATATAAATGGCGTAAGCAAAAATAAAAAACAGAAATAAAAAAAGAAAACGTGGGCCGAACATTATCAAGAAGAGAAGCATAAACCCATCGTTGTGTGACAGAGTGTTGTTGTTCCCCGTCGTTGGAGAGTAAGCGAGTCTCTTACGCAGAGAGGCTTGCTTTTTCCTCAAAGGTAAAGAAACGCATCAGATCTTATTCGCATTTTCATCGTTTTCTTCGCTCGATTCTCTCTTTCGATATCCCCTCCTCATCCTCGATTGAGTTTGTTTCTGCCCCTTTTATTCTCTTGCACAAAATTCGGGATTTTGTTCGTTAATGCTGGCTTTTTTTTTTCTCACATTCGATGGGTTTCTTGGTTTTCCTTGTGTTTTCCGAGGAAATCTGATGTTTGATTTGATCGTTCCTCCTGAAAGTTTTGTTCTTTAGCACATTGTCAAGGTTCTCTTTGTTGATTGGCTCTGTCTTTAGGTAGATGATGAGAATCTTGCAATTACATTACCTTTTGTTGGATCACTGACCCATATGAGAGTCTTATTTGTGTTCCCTTCAGCAAATCGAGCTAGAGATTTGTATTTCCTTAATCCAAATACATTGTTCTATTTTAGATTCCATTAAGCAATAGAGTTTCCGGGAATTTTTTCAATCTGGATGATGAATTGCACCTGGTTTAGGCCTGAAATCTAGTTTTCTGGTAATAGTTAATGCTCAGTTAACAGAATTATGCTATATGTTCTTGTCAGATGAAGGTTTTTGCCGATTTTTCCCGTCAATATTTGTGTTTGAATGAGAGCAGTTTCATATGAGCAGAATTTGGCATCATAGTAAGATTATCTGTTTTTTGGTTTGAGATCCATTTGATTGGAAATTCTTCTATGGCTTAGCAACAAAATCTTGGTTTACCGTTGATGCTTCAATCTTTTGAATGCTGGAACCTTCTTATATATCTTTGTACATATGCGTGCAAAATTAAGATTCTCGCATTTCATAAATAAGAGTTCATGCATCGGTTCTTCTTGCATCAGAAAGATCATGTATTCACTTTTTTTTTTCCCTCCAGCTAGCAGTCTCAATAAAGTGGCAAAGATGGTCGCAGAACGCTTCACAGTCGATTTGGATAAGCCACTTGTCTTTCAGGTGATGCGCTCAATCACTTTTTTTTCAGCATAGCCTTTTTCATCAAAATCTCTGTCAACCTTAAAAGCTGAGTGGTAGAATCTTTGATACTTGCAATGCATCAATTGACTAAAAAAACATCTCTTTCCTCGTCAGGTTGGTCATCTTGGCGAAGAATATCAAGAATGGATTCATCAACCTATTGTATGTGTAGAGGGTCCTCGTTTTTTCCAAAGTGATTTTTGGGAGGTAACAATTTTTCTTTATAATGATTCATCATCTTATATGTTATCCTCTGTGTTTTGATTATATCCTTTTTTGTGAAATTTGAGCAGTTCTTGACTCGCACGGTTTGGTGGGCAATCCCAACAATTTGGCTTCCTGTTGTTTGCTACATGTTTTCGCTATCAGCGAGGAAGGGACTTACGTTTCCTCAGATCGGTTTAATAGTTGCCTTTGGCGTACTCACGTGGACACTGCTCGAGTACACTCTTCATCGTTTCCTTTTTCACATCAAAACCAAGACTTACTGGTTAGTTTCAATATCCGTGATTATGCAAACATAAAAAACCGAGTTTCATCACAAAGCTGATTCTGTTTTCGTTTCTTTAGGGCAAACACTGCACACTATCTTCTTCATGGATGCCATCATAAACACCCACAAGACGGCCTTCGTCTTGTTTTCCCTCCTACCGCAACAGCTATTCTCTTGGTTCCAGTAAGTAATCTAGAATCTTTTTTCATTCGTTCTTTGTTTCAAAACGGGAACTTATATCCATGTTCCTCATTTTTCCTTGTGTTAGCTATGGAAGCTTCTCCATCTCTTAGCTACTCCTGCGACAGCCCCTGCTTTGCTTGGAGGCATTTTGTTTGGCTATGTGATGTATGATGTTACTCATTACTATCTACACCATGGTCAACCTAAAGAACCAACCTTTAAACATCTTAAAGTAAGAAGACCCATCTTATAAGATCTCTTTTTTTCGCTCTCAAAACTCGTTCTTCTGAATTGCTGATGAGTTTTGGTATACTTTTTACAGAAATACCACCTGAATCATCACTTCAGAATTCAGAACAAAGGATATGGAATCACTTCATCTCTCTGGGACAAGGTCTTTGGAACACTTCCCGGTATAAAGGCCGCCGAGAAGAAGAAGATCTAAACCGGAATTCTGTTTACCGGTTTTTCAGAGTGTCGAAAAACTCACTGATCTTGTGTAATATGATTCATCAGGTGATTCATTCAATTACTGTTAACTACTTGTATTCGATTTATCACCATATTTGAACATATCTAGTGGTGCCCAAAATCTGTTAGGTTTTTATATTTTCGGTTTATGAAATATAGAAACCGAATACCATTCGGTGTTTTAGGCTTTCAGCAAAGTATATTTCAAATTAATGGATTTTCAAAGCAATTAAAAATCGGTTTTTAACCTTTTTTATTCAGTTCAGTCTTTAAATCAACTATTCTTGGTTCGGTTAAACAGTATCCAGTGCATCTCTTCTACAAGAAAACACTCACTTTCACACTTATTAAAAGTTTATAAACAAAGTTACACTATCTATAAATGAATTCATAAACAACAATAAATCTGGTTTTGTCCAAGAAAATCAGATCAAAACAGAGGAGGAATGCTCTGTTCGTTTCTGAAGAAATTCGTCGGATCAATCTTTCCTTTAACCAAACTCAATCTCTTGAAATTACCTCTGAAATACCTCTCTCCCCATTTCCTCGCATCTTCAAAACTCGTGTTGATTCCTCTGGTCGTGCCCAAATCAAGATCTCTGTAATTTAAATAAGCTCCTCTCGGCGATGTAGAAACGTAAGGAGTCATGTAATCGTAAAGCAATCTCATCCACCTCACATGCTTGTTCATCTCCTCGACTTCATTCACTTTCCATTTCACCATATATTGGATGTTATACAGATTTCCTCTCCTGTGTGGATATGGAGACTCGGTTTCTGAAATCTCGCTTATTCTCCCACCAAATGGCTCTAGGATCATAAAGGGAGTTTCTTTCTCCAGAAACCTTTTGGTGACTTCTTCAAATACGTTTTCAGGAACTGGTTTTTGAACAAAATCTGATTTTGCTTTGAAGTAAAGATCCTCGTATCTTTGGTCTCTGTCGAGCATGATCTCTAACGGCTGTCCTGATTTCCAGTTAAAGAACATTATAGATTCGATCCAGCTCATTTCCGAGCAGTCTTGAGATCGTAATCCGAGTTCTGGAAACTTCTGGTTCATCAGAGGAATCAATCTATCGATTCCTCCAAGAAACAGAGCTTGAAACGTAGTTTTCACTCTTCTTTGATTCCCATCTTGAGTATTGTCAATAATGACTCTGATGAATAGATCCTCGTCTAGCTCTGCTCCTAAGTATTGCCATCGATGAACAAGCTTGTTCATGCTTGGTCCCATCGTATGCTGACTTATGAAACAAGTTACCTTTTCAGGAACCCTAACGAGCTTAACCTTCCACGACAATACAACGCCAAAACTCGCTGCTCCACCTCCTCTAAGAGCCCAAAACAACTCCTCTCCCATCGTTCTCCGGTCGCGAATTTTCCCGTTTACGTCCATCAAACGCGCGTCCACAACGTTATCAGACGCTAAACCGTGTTTTCTCATTATCGTACCGAATCCACCGCCGCTAATGTGTCCACCAACTCCGACACTTGGACATATCCCTGCAGAGAATGCATGGATCTTGCTGGTTTTGGCTATTTTGTAGTAGAGTTCGCCGAGTGTTGCGCCGGATTGGATCCATGCGGTTTCTTCTGTGAGGTTTATGTTGATTGATCTGAGGTTAACGAGGTCGATGATTATGAACGGTGATTGTGAGAGGTAAGAGAGGCCTTCGTAGTCGTGACCACCACTGAGAGTTCTTACTTGCACACCAAGTTTCCTGCTGCATAGAATTGATCTTTTGATTTCGGATTCTGATTTCGGTTTGAGGATCAGAATAGGCTTCAGGCTTGTGAAATTCAAGTTTAGGAAACTTGAATTTGGGGATGAAGATTCGGAAAAGTCGGTGAAGACTTTGGAATCTGAGGTGTGGTTAGTGAGATTTATAGGGTTTTTGAAGATGGAATGATTCTTTGACAAGCAACTTTGAAACTGTTCCTTTGTCGGAATAGAATAACAAGAATTGACATGTTTGGCTAAAATGAAAATAAACAAAGACAGTACTAGCTCTTTCATAGTGTTTTTTTTTTTGTTTCTTGTGTTCGAAGTCTCAGACAAAGAAGAAGAAGAAGTGCTTTTGTTCTTGTCTGGTTTAGAAAGTTTCTAATATTTGTTGAGAAACTGGATGAGTACTGCGAAGAAGAAGAAGGCTTGAGAAGACTATAAATATTTTCAGATTTGGGGGTAGTTTATTTGAATAGAATATTTTAATAAACGTCATTAGAATATAATACGATTATTTTGACGAGAAGCTAAAACAAAGACGTTAGCTAAGAGTCAAAGAGAAGACATTTTCAGAGTTGATATATGATGGAATAGTGATAACCATGTATAGGGGATTACGCGTTTAGCAAGATATTGCAATTCCCAAACGTGGTAATAATCATTACTTGCTAGATTATAATTTTGCGCATTATTAGATGTAGACCTCCTTGGTCAAATAATAATAATAAACCAGAATTAGGGTTTGAAGGGTTTTCCTTGTTTAGATATATATCCATTTAAAGACTTAGCTATTGGTGGTTTGTCGACTATCATGGTGTAGCTGGATATTATCACCTAAATACAATAAAGCACTAATTTATAAACAAACTAAACTAGTATTTTACAGCTTTTTGTTTTTGTTTTAGTTTTATTCTTTTTAGATAACAGGATCTTTTAAATTTACAATGACTTAAAGTTCAAAAACTACGTATACGGTGTAAAATCCACAATTTGAGGATACTAGTTTTTCTTTGAGAAGCGTTTATGCATGAGATTAATATAGATTCATGGACAAAATTTAAATACATTAAGATGCTAATGTGAAACCAAGAAAAGTAAACGTACAATACTCCTGATATCAATGGACCATAAAAACGTCTAATCCCTCATTATATACACTGTACAATTTTATTTGTCTTAAGAGAATGTTTACAATGTCTAAAAAAAAAAAGAAGAATGAAGCGTTAATGTCGTCAGGCTTTGATGTCAACTCTACGGCCACTGAAAACGTGTTGTTCTTACTTTCTGGAAGTCTTTGGTGATGCATTGAATGATTACTGATAAGTGCATGTTACAAATAGATTCGTCGTTGTACTTCTCTCGTAACCACGTGTTCCTGATCCTTATCAAGATTTCATACTTGTTTGAATACATGGCCGGCCCCGAAGTCATAAAACTTAAAGTAAACAAAAAAATGTTGCCACTACCGCAACTATTTTTTCTTCGAAGTACACGTATAATCAAAACAATAATATGTATTTCTCTTCTTATTTGCAGTTCCGTTTAGCTTTATTTTGGATTTACTTTTCGGTAACATTTTCTACAAATTAATGAAACAAATTAGAATAGCCTGATTTTACTTGCTGAGAAAAAAGAACAGAGCAACACATAAAACAAAAGGCAATGATTAATAATTTAATATACTCACCTTGAAATCAATTTTAGCTTGTAAAATTTTAATTCTTGATTTGAATTGTTGAATCCACATCGTAATCCTTCACTTTTTTAAGTAGGTGAGAGTTTTAGAGAGCATGAAAACTTAAAGATTTATAAGAGAAAAAGAGGAGTAGGAGAAAAATAGAAGAAGACATATATGGGGAGAGGAAAGAAAAAACGGCATGAGAGTAAATATACAAAATCACAAACCACTTCACCTAAGGAATTTATCTGAAGATGATGTCCCTAATTTTTAAAAAAGATTTGGTACCTAAAACCCTTGTTTCATAAGTTTATTTGATCCTTAGAGATACAAGCCTGTTTGGATATATAGCTTATATGAAAAATGATTTTTTTTATAATTAAACTAAGAATATGGGAATTTTGTGGCAAAAATCTCAAATCCCTATTTTATAAACTTCATAAATTTAGTTTGAATTTCGAATTTAGGATGTCATAGTTAAAAAAATGAAGGTAAGTTGATTTTAGCGGTTGAGAATCAGCCTTAGCCACAGCCGCAACCACGGACTTCTCTTTATGAAACGGTTGAAACGCACCACCGTTTCGTTTACCATCTACTATCACCGTCGTCTGATCCTATTGATCCAAACATCAAACAACTCAGATTTTATGTTTGGGTTCCTCACAAAATCCATTTTTGCCGATTCAAAATTTCTTAGGCACCACCAAATAGTTAATCAAAAGTACCTCTTTGGACTGGCTCCATAACTGAACAGATCTAAGCCAATCAGATTTCTTCTTATCACCGTTATTTTCAGCTCCATGTTTGCAAGTAGATTCGTGTTCATTGGAGGTAGACGAATTCATCTTGATCGGCATAAACTCCCCAAACACGACAGCGCCGCCTCGCTCCGTTCAGAACACTCTGATTGGCCGTGAACTTGCTCCGACGTCGTAGAAAATCCCGATAACTCCTTTCTACACTATTCGATCGCTGTAAGAAATTGATTATAAGAAAAAATGGAATCGAGGGAAGAAGGAGAAGATACGATTTTTAAAAAAGTGGATGTTAATTTACCTTGGCTTACGAGCTCTAAACACAAGGGGAGCTCACGTTGGAAGACTTGGATCTTCTTCTGTTCACAATGGTTGTTAGACATATTTAGTGTATTATATAGTTTAATAAAGTTAGACTAATGATTAAAATCTCATGAACAATTCTTGTACAATCATATTTTTAGTTTCTAGTCTTTTAAATTTTAAAACTACCTCTACTTAGGACCTCTATTAATATATGCATGGCTCTGCTATAGGATGAGAATCAGTTGTCATTTGTAAACTAAGCAATGCCCTTGATGTTGGGGTTAGTGGTTATGTCTATGTGTCTTTGTTAGCAGTGTCAATTGGGCTGTCCATGTCCAAATGAGCTTGTCCAAATGAACATTTTTATTTTCTGGACATTAATGGTCCACACCCAAATAGAACCATGTCCAAATAAGACCAAATCTATTTTGGACCATGATCAATTGGGCTGTCCATAAGTCCAAATAAGACCATTTTCAAAATTACTTAATTGTAGCAAAATGAAGAGATTCAAAACATGAGTTTAACGTAATTGCAGCAAAAAAAGAGATTCAGCTTACAAGATACAAGTTTAACTAAAACATTGTCATAAAAAAGATAGAAGGAAGATAGATACATTAATAGCTTCTATGTTGTTCGGATCTTCTTTCTTCCACTTTCAAAACCATATGGTTTGACCCATTTATTTTCTGGACAAAACTAGACCAAAACCATTTAGACCCACTAATATTTGGGTGTGTCCATAACCGGCCCATTATAATTTGGACATGGGTCACCCATGGACAGCCCGCCTATTTGACACCTCTAGTCTTTGTTGACAATGGTTGTTATCTATGCTAGTGTGCAGACAGAACTCTTTATTCGGCTGATGCATACGATTATGAATCTCTTTCATAGTTTGTCATTTTAGATATTGAAGAAGAAGAAAGGGAAATGAGGATAAGAGATCAGATAGATATCAAGAAACACCGATGGAACTGCCGGTAGAATGAACGGAAAACAGAAATTTTGAAGAGGAAGAGAAATTGAAACCAAAAAAAGATAACATTTCTGGTCGTCAGACATCTCTGTTTCATATTCGCATTAACTAAATCTCTTTGAATATAAAGCTTATACAAAGAATGACTTTTGGAATGAACCTAAAGATTTGAGAATGCTAGGATCAATAAATTGCTTTTTGTTATTGAATGATTGAATGAATAAATACAAAAAAAAAACTCCTTGGAGATGTTTACATTAATGTATTTATATTAAGTACGGGATATTTATAGGCAGTGGCGGAGCCAGAATTATTTTTTATTGGGGACATAAATAAATAAACGAGAGCAATATAATTTTATGATTGGGGCATCAATGGTTAGCTTTGATAAATTATACGAATTTTTAAAATTTACTGGGGCATATGACCCCAACTTAATCAAAGTGGCTGTAGGTTATCTACATTCCAAACTTATCTATATGGTTCAAAATAAAACTAGTTTTTTCTAGTTCTACAAAACCACGGGCAATAAATGAATAAAATATCACTAGCGATTCTAAGTAAAAGTACATCCATTGATGCCAGACAAGCAATTAAGAACGCAACATTGTTTAGGAACTTGCGAGTTCTAGATGATAGACTCATGAGAGTTTATGATTAGAAGAAGTTTTGGCTCTCAATTCATTTTCAATGTACAAAATATACATATATATACAATGTAAAGACTAAACACTTAATGTTTAACAGTTACAAGGAATAAACTCATTAGTGATAAGAGTGATTATATGGATTGAGATGACAAATATTTAAATTGATTGATAGTACTCTTTTCCTTCACACTAAATATATATAGGATTTTTTGGTAATCATATAGTTTGCAACAAAACCCACCAAATCTGGTAGATACAAATTTCTCTAGATAAGGCATCATCTTTGAAAAAATTATATTATGATAAGATTTGGAAGAGCATTTGTTATAGAAAATGAAAACTGCTGAGTCAAACTATATTAAAGAGAAAATGGCATTAAAAAACCTGTTTTAAAGCACTATTATTTTAGTGGCAAAAAACCTTAGATTTCTATGAACTTCATGGATTTAGTCTAGACTTCCGGCTTGAGATGCCCACAATTTTTTCTTTAAAAGTCAATCTTTACTACAACATTATAATAATATAGATAAGAAAAACCAGAGAAAAAAAAACGTCAATCAAATGAAATCAGTATAGAATTTACCCAAACATCTTAAAACTAGGACACAAATTTAAGTAATGATCTAAGTTTTTGTTTAACATTCAGCACAGATTAACAGTGAAGACGACAACAACGAAGAAACACTCTCATAAACGGGCCAGCTAAAAACCCAAGCAGTCCAATTTATTGTATTGGTTCAATTTTAAAGTCAACAAGTTGTGATTATGAGATATGTGACTCACAACAAAGGTTCGAACTTTATCATTAAGAAATTTAGAGTGAAGTCAAAAATTTAATCTCCTTATCTATTACTTAGAGCAGAGCAAAGCCCCCAGTGAGAGTAAGCCAGCTCCATAGACATAATCCGAAAAAAGGACTCTCA